CCTAGGCTCCCACAAAGCCAATACGTGCAGTAGGATCAAAACCCATTGCCATTGTTCTTGAGTTCTCAGTAGTCCTCATTGTCCGCTATGTTCAGCAAGTCTGGTTTTATCCCAGGCTTTTTCAGACCCAGGCCAGCTGGCCTTGGTGAGTTCCCGATAGGACATCCCCATTGTCTCAGTGTGTGGGTGCACCCCTCGCTGTCCTGAGTTCCTTGCTCGTGCTCTCTCTCCATCTGCTCCTGATTTGGACCCTGAGATTTCAGTCTGGTGCTCCAATGTGGGTCTCTGTCTCAGTCTCCTTTCATCGCCTGATGAAGGTTAATATTCAGGAGGATGCTTATATGTTTTTCTTTGGGTTCACCTTCTTATTTAGCTTCTCTAGGATCACAAATTAAAGGCTCAATGTCCTTTATTTATGGCTAGAAACCAAATATGAGTGAGAACATCCCATGTTCCTCTTTTTGGGTCTGGCTTACCTCACTCAGGATAGTGTTTTCTATTTCCATCCATTTGTATGCAAAATTCAAGAAGTCATTGTTTTTTACTGCCGAGTAGTACTCTAATATGTATATATTCCATACTTTCTTCATCCATTCTTCCATTGAAGGGCATCTAGGTTGTTTCCAGGATCTGGCTATTACAAACAATGCTGCTATGAACATAGTTGAGCAAATGCTTTTGTCATATGATAGGGCATCTCTTGGGTATATTCCCAAGAGTGGTATTGCTGGGTCCAGTAAGTTGATCCCGAATTTCCTGAGAAACCGCCACACTGCTTTCCAAAGTGGTTGCACACGTTTGCCTTCTGGTGGTTGATTTTTAAATATGCGTGACCCCAGACTCCATGCTGGATCCCATCTTTGAAGGTTGTTTCAGAGTGGTGATCTTACTGCTTCAACTGTCCCTCTATCCTTTGACTCCCAGTTCATCTCCAACTCTTCCCCAGCAGCTTCTTTTTCCTGTGGGAAACTCTGCACACACTACTATTTACTTAGCTTCTTAGGACTGAGTGGTCCTAGTCTTCAGCCTCCATTTAATTCTTCATTGAACACATCTCCATTCTCCAATTACATCCTGATTTGTCATCTTCTCATATCTCCATTACTGTCACCCTTGTTACAGCTAGCAAGCCAGCATCTTTGTCTCTGAAGCACTACAATCTTTCCTGCCTGATCTTCCAGAGACCCCGTTCTTTCTATTGCAGTAGGGTGGTCTTTCTTTGATCCGGAAGAAGATAATTTCACCCTCCAGTTTAAAATCACACTAACAACAAAACTTTCAATATAGGAAGGAGGAGATAGGGGAGAATTTTGGGAAATATAGAAAGCAAAAATATTTGATTTGTTGTTTTTAAAAATTGGGAACATGAGCTGTGTGGTGGAGTACTTTTAATAGAAGTACTCAGGAGGCAGAGGCAGGTGGATCTCTGTGAGTTTGAGGTCAGTCTATTCTACAGAATTGAGTTCCAGGACACTCAGGGCTGTACAGAGAAGCCACGTCTCAACCCCCCCCCCAAAGGGAACATGGGGCCGAAAGGTGACTCAGCTGTCAAGAATTCTTGCTTCTCTTGCACAGGACTTGGTTGGGTTCCCAGCAGCCACAATGAGCAGCTCACAACCAGCCTTATCTCCAACTCCAGGGGATCTGACATACTCTTCTGCCTTCTGTGGGCACCTACATGCAAACTTGTACCGCTACTCAGACTTTTAAAAATCTAAACCTCGGGCTGGAGAGATGGCTCAGTGGTTAAGGGCATTGTCTGCTCTTCCAAAGGTCCTGAGTTCAATTCCCAGCAACCACATGGTGGCTCACAACCATCTGTAAAGAGGTCTGGCACCCTCTTCTGGCCTTCAGGCACATACACAGACAGAATATTGTATACATAATAAATAAATAAATATTAAAAAAAAGTGTTTCTGTCATATTTAAAAAAAAATCTAAACCTCAAGGAAAAGTGTTATTTTTGTGTTGTTGATGATTGTACTCAGGCCCTTGAGTATGCAGGGAAGCTGTTCCATTGATCTATACTCCCAGTTAGGAAATTATTTTTTGTGATTACTCAGGAGTGAAGGAATATGTTCTTTAAAAAGTTCAGAAACTTCTAAGGCATATTATTAAATATTTTATTGTGTTTGATACTTGAAAATTGGCTGTTCATTTATGCTATATTTAATGTTTATCTAACCCCCAAATCCCTATTGTTAATTATTCCAAATAATAGTTTGTTATGTTAATATCTTGGATAAATATATTATGAAACTTGTATTTTTGTCCATGGCTTAGTGTTGCTGGATGCTATTGAGAGACTCCAAGATCTCAGCAAGGACCAGATGGATGTCCCTCACCTGTGGGACATGCTGTCTAGTTTGAATAGTCATCTAAAAAAGGATGAATTCTTACATGCTGTGAAATTAGCAACAGTTGATGGTGGGTATTCCAAATATTAAATTTCAAGGAACGCATTCCGGTGTTCCAATGTGGGTCTCTGTCTCTATCTCCATTCATTGCCAGATGAAGGTTCTATGGTGATATGCAAGATATTCATCAGTATGGCTATAGGATAGGGCCATTTCAGGTTCCCTATCCTCAGCTGCCCAAGGAACTAACTGGGGACATCGCCCTGGGCACCTGGGAGCCCCTCTAGGTTCAAGTCTCTTGCCAACCCTAAGATGGCTCCCTTAATTAAGATATATACTTCCCTGCTCCCATATCCACCCTTCCTTTATCCCAACTATCCCATTTCCCCAAGTTTCCCCATCCTCCCCTTCTCACTTTTCTCTCCCCATCTTCCCTTACCCCTATCCCACCCCACCCCCAAGATCCCAGGTCCCAATGAGGAGCAGAAGGAGGGAGAATATGAGCAAGGAAGTCAGGACCGCGAGGGGTGCACCCACCCACTGAGACAGTGGGGCTGATCTATTGGGAGCTCACCAAGGCCAGCTGGACTGGGACTGAAAAAGCATGGGATAAAACCAGACTCTCTGAACATGGCGGACAATGAGGCCTGATGAGAAGCAGGACAATGGCACTGGGTTTTGATCCTACTTCATGTTCTGGCTTTGTGGCCTAGCCAGTTTGGATGCTCACCTTCCTAGACCAGGATGGAGGGGGGAGGACCTTGGACTTCCCACAGGGCAGGGAACCCTGGCTGCTCTTTGGAAGGGAGGGGGGGGGGGAGGGGAGGGGGGGGAAGAGGAGAGGGGGGGGAGGGGGGGGAGGGAAATGGGAGGCTGGGAAGAGGCAGAATTTTTTTTCAATAAAAATAATAATAAAAAAGAAGTATTCAAGGATTAATGTTGCTGTTTTTAGTGATAAACAATCAAACAGATATGGAGTGAGCTCTATCTGTGAGAGCAGCTTGTGTTTCTTTCATGCTTAGAGAATGTTTCATACATCTAAGAGCTACCTATTTTTTTTTCCTTGGGAGAAATATTTATTCAAGACTTTTGCCCATTTAAAAAAATAGAGATATATTTTCTTGTTGTTAAGCATTTTGAGTTCATTATATATTTTAGATTAGTAGACATTTTATCCAATGTATGATTTGAGAATATTTTCTCTCAATTCATGGGTGAGTGGTTGCTAGTTTCCTGCCCACAGTGTGTGTGTGTTTTTCTGTCTGTCTGTCTGTCTCTTGCTCAGTCTGGCTATTGTTGTTCTGACAACCATTTTTATTTTGATGCAGTCCTGTTTGTCTATTTTTTCCTTGAGTCAGCTGTGCTTTTCAGGTTCTATCCAAGAATTCTCTGGCTAGAGAAGATTGCATGGAGCATTTTCTCCATGCAGTCTTTTAGATTCATGAGGGGGTCTCTGCGGAGGAAAGTTTGCAGTTCAGTTCAGCGTGACTCAGTAGCCCGTGCTGGCTCAAGCTTCTGAAGTTTGCCTCTAAGAGGTATATTTAAGCACAGCACAATTTGGTGAATTATTCTGTTGATAATTAACCAAATACTGCATGCACAGCTAAGCTAAATCAAGATCAGATGTGACTCCATCAAAACTCTTTGTAAAGTCCATAAAGATAGGCTCTATAGATTGATTGAGGAAAAACAAAGTTATGATAAAGGTCTGAGAGAGGATTTAGGGCTAGAGAGTATCCACACAGATAATGCAGAGGTCACCAGGCTAGAAAGCACGTCAAGTCCAGTCTTTCAGTTGGATAACTGGCTTTGCATTCCTTCCCTTGAAGGAACAACCCTGTGTGCTTAGCTTTCCAGGTTTCCCTAGTGCTTGTCTGGGAGCATAAAGACCTCCATGCCTCCTACAGCGTCAGATCTCAATGAGGCGGAGTGTCTAACAGCTGAAATATTAATACATAGATTTAGGAACTACAAAAAGTTCATATGTTGGCTGTTTTATATAAAACAACAGTATCTATTTTTATTTTAATCTCATCATGTGTATACCAGTGAGAAGAGACTGGGAGACTGGGGAAATTGAGATCTGTTCGAGGTAGTCATGGCTCATGCATATCATCTCAGCATATTTACATAGTTGAAGGAGGAAGACTGAGAAGGCCAGCATGGGCTGCATAGTAAATTCAAGCCAGCATGTACTACCTAGCAAGAACCTGTCTTTAAAAAAAAAAAAGGATAAAGTATCTGTTCAAATTTTGTGGTAATATTTTATTATTACATTAGTCAGGATAGCTGACAGATTTAGAGGCAAAACCTTTGTATTTAGGTAGATTCCAGATATTTCTATAAGAAACAGGAAAATGTAGTACAGTATAGGAATGCAGTTTTATTATATAGTTCCTAGGAATTCAAGTGCTAATTTAAAACATATGCCGGATAAAAGGCAGGATATTGTATTTGTAGCTGTATTTAAAACCTGTAAAGTAGGACTTTGACTGCTCGGGGATGTGCCTTGCCTGGCCCCTGTGCTTTGTTGTAGTTTGTGATCATCAGCTACAGAATTCTAAGTCTCCAGCCTAAGCTTCCTTGGTAGTGGTTAGGAAAGAAAGTTGCTTCTGTCTCCCATTTGTCCCTTGATAGTAGTCTGGAACGTCTATGCTCTTCTGTAAATAAAAGGGTGTCAGCCTTCAGGTTGTCTATCAAAAGTTTCTTCTTCAGGCCAAGTCTGAACGAAAACTGAGACCTATCTCTTATTTTTATTTAGTACTTTCTCTACATTTTATGACTATGGGTTGTATGGTTTCTCTTGATTGATGGAAACTGAGGACTCAGTTTAAATTCTGTAGTCTTTTCCTTCTTTCCATAAATCAACCTGTTACTAAAAAATATGATTCTTAAGCATACACCACATGATTTACATTTTTGTAGATTGGCTCATTGACTCTGACTTTTGTTTAGTGAGGGTAATCTAATAAAATATTTTTCTTACAAAAGGTGACAAAGTACAGCTTGATGAATTTTCAAAAGCAGTGAAGGACATGCGGGACACCCTCAGGCTAAAAGGTAAATTATGGGTGTGGAGTGGGGTGGGGAGATGGCTTTGCAGATATAGTGTTGCCATATGTGCCTGAGAATCTGAGTTTGGATCCTTAGAACACACAGAAACCCCAGGTAGATACAGCATCTGTCTATAATTCTAACTCTTAGAAGGCAGAGACCTGGGACACTCAGAGTAAATTGGCTGGCTAGATTAACCATATTGATGGACTCCGATTTCAGTGGAGAGATCCTGCCTCAATGAATACAGTGAAGAGTGATTGAAGAAGACTCAGACACTCAACCTTGACATGCATGTGCATATGTACACCTGCATCTCCATATATGTGAACACGCATGCAAGCATACCACATACATGCAGAGAGGAGAATGGGAAAAAGAGGAGGGGGAAGCAGGAGGAAGAGGAGAAGAAGAAAAGATACTGGAACTAAGATTGTAGCTTGGTAGAGCCCCTGTCTAGTGTGCAAAGAAATCCTGGGTTCAATCCCCCAGTGATAGTTAAGAAGGAAAGAAAACAATGAAGGTAAGTAAATTATTTGTGGCCATTTAAACTGTTTATTTTGATAATTTGCTTTGATTTCTAGCTAACATGTTTGCATTGTTCTGATAGAAGGCAGATGACACTTAGTTTGATGAGAAGTTGGCAGCTTTCAGGAAAAAAGGACTTTTTTTTTTAAATATGAAGCAGTCCACTGAAAGATCTATTAAATTCCATCTTCACTTCTTGGACTTGATGGGAAATCTACTTATTTTTAAGATTTATACTTATTTTGTGTGTGTGTGTGTGTGTGAGTGTTACCTACTGATATGTTTGTGATCATGTATGTGTCTGGTACCTTTGGCAGTCAAAGAGAGCGTTGGGTCTTTTGGAACTGGAGTTATGGATGGTTGTGAGCCACTAATGTGGGTGCTGGGAACTGAACTCTGGTCCTCTACAAGAGTAATCAGTGCTCTTAAATGTTGAGCCATCTTTCCAGTTCCTCTCTTAGTGGTTTTTTTTTTTTTTTTTTAACATTTTCTATGTATAAAATTCTCCTATGGCATTTTAGGCTTCAGACTTAGAACTATTCTATGGACTGCTTTATTTTATAGGATCTCTCAGAAATCTGTTTCCTTTATTCTAATATATTATTGTTATTTATTATTATCTCATCACTTTTTTGTACTTCAATAGTTTTCTTCTACACTACCTGACCTCTAATTTCACTTTCTTATCTCCAGAATTAAGAAGCTAATAGCATTATGTTTACACAGCTTTTAGGATCAAATTTAGTAATCCACGTGCAGTGTATAACATGACATTGGGAGCATGTTATGTATTGAATAAAGAGTTACAACTTGATATCCAATTCTGAAACTGGAGGGCAGTGCTTGGAAAGACTGTTGTTCAGGACTGGTGACATTTTTATAAGGCAGGGAACAAAGTAAACTAAGTCACAAAGTGCTGATATTAGTTGGGCACCTGAATCTGAGAGATGACCACGGAGACAAGGAAGATGGCATAGCCACCCAGTGTAGATAGGGCTGGGAACTTCTAAGGAGAGTTATGAAGGCCAAGAAAGGGTTAACACAGCAGAACTGAGGTTGCTATCTTTGGAAAAGCCTGTTTGGAAGTTTGGTGGCACATGGGAACTTGGCTTCCAAAATGTTGCCCTCCATTACCAACTTACTAGACTTACTTAGAGAGCTTAGAGGCATCAGAGAATAGCGTTTGTAAATTTCTATGCTTTTCTTCAGTATGTACACATAAAAGTTTATTATTATTATGATATGTGAGTATGATGATGTATGTGTATGATATATGCATATGGGCACATACATGCCTCAACATGTGTGTGGAGGTCAGAGGACAACTTTCAGGTGTTGGTTCTCTCCTTCCACAGGGAGTTCTGGGGATTTAACTGGTTTTCGTCAGGCTTATGTAGCAAGTGCCATTACCCACTGAACTGTCTTGAGACCCTACACAGGATTTAATAATTAACCATGGACTACACAGACACAAGTCTTTATTATTCTGTTTTAAAAATGAGAGCTCAGTTCAATGATCAAATGTCTTTTAAAATATGTATTTCTAGAGTTGGAGGAGATAGCCGTAGGTCTTAACTCACTCGAAGGTGAGAAGGTATCTCGGGAGAACGTGGAAGATTTTCTAGAGAATCTTAGGATTACATCATTTAAAGATGAAGTGGAAAAAATCCTTCAATCAGATATTGTTTCTGGTGAGCATTTGCACTATTCTCAGGGTTTATCAAGGTGTTTGTTTTTCTTTATCTTTTTTTGTAGGAGGACTTGCAAAAATGGTGTGCATGTCTAGAGTTGTTCAGTTATGCTTCTGAAAATAATATCTTTGACAAGAAGCTTTTCCTCTAAAAACTACTCTTTTGCAGTTATAAAAATAAACAAACCTTTTAACTAAATAAGCCATTAAAATAAACAAGCCTCATTTTTCGGGGGAGCACCCTTGTTAAAGTCCTTCTGCTTGCCTTGTTCCTTCCAGTGAAGGATGGCTTGAGAATTTAAACCGAGTAGAAATGCTACTTTGCCGCTTTGGGACAGCTGAAGTTACAGGTCCTTCTTGGTGCCTGAATTCCATGTCAGGCCAAGTTGGAACCAGTGTGTCTGCAGCCTTGTAGAGCTGTGGTAAGAAATGACAGCTATCAAAGAATCCAGAAGCACCTTGTAAATAAAGTGTTTAAAAAACTGAAACATTTTCAGATGTTTATTTTAATATTTTTAAATAAATTTTGAAAATGACTTTGCCCAGGAATCTGTACTTTTCATTTCTCTTCTTTCCACTCTAGAAGACAACACGGTGAGCGTTAAGGACTGTATGGAAGCTCTGAGAGACAACTCGAAATTTTCCAGCTACAATGGTAAGAGCTTTCCGGTCAAACTGTCACAAGGCAGCAATTCGGGATCCTTCGGAGGGCGTGTAGTCAAGCATCACGTTTGATGCCTAGTCTCCACAGTACCCGTTGTGATTGATCCACTTCAGCTTGTGTGTGTGTAGAGTGGAAATGCACCTGACTGTGGTGGTTAGAGCGGGGGGGGGGGGGGGGGGGGGGGGGGGGGGGGGGGGGGGGGGGGGGGGGGGGGGGGGGGGGGGGGGGGGGGGGGGGGGGGCTTTGGAGCTGATCAAGATTTGACGAGCCCACCCAGGTGGAGTCCTCACAATTGACCCCTGGCGGCTCGCAGAGTGAGGGCTTCACTCACTGAGCATCTCCTGGGCTCCTGTTGTTGTCTAAATATTTCCAGCCGTGCACCATTTTCCCTTTGATCTGACAGTAGTATAGGGGGTAACTCTAAATCTCACAGTGTTGTGGCTTCACCGCTGCCCTATAGTGCAAATTCTAATTGGTCTAAATAAGAAAAACTTGGAGTCAGATAGCGAGGTGAATGCTGAAAGATCAGAGAGACAAAGGAGGAAGCCACAGTCACCTCTTACCTCTCCACTTCTCACCCGAAAAGGGGCTCTGCCCTGCCTATCATTTCCTCTCTCCGCACAGCCATATCATTTCCTGTTTCCTCCTCCCCGGTGCTGGGATTAAAGGTGTGAGCCACCACTGCCTGGTCTCCATGGTTAACTAGTGCTAACTTTGGACTCTGATCTCCAGATAAGGTTTATTTGTTAGAGCACAAACAAAATACCACCACACTGTCCCGTGCGCGTGTTACTTCTAGTTCTCATTTATTTGAGTTAGAGAATGAGGTCCTTAGTAGGGGACTTAATTCTTCCTTAGTCCATTAAAGCCAAGTTTCAAAAAATTTTCTTTTTTTTTTCTTTTTGGTTTTTTGGGACAGGGTTTCTCTGTAGCTTTAGAGCCTGTCCTGGAACTAGCTCTTGTAGACCCAGGCTGGCCTTGAACTCAGAGAGATCTGCCTGTTTCTGTCTCCCAAGTGCTGGGATAAAAAGTATGTGTCAAAAACTTTTATATGTTGGGTTTTTGTTTGTTTGTTTGTTTTTTTTTTTTGAGACAGGGTTTCACTGTAGCTTTAACTAGCTCTTGTAGATCAGGCTGGCCTCGAACTCACAGAGATCTGCCTGCCTCTGTCTCCTGAGCGCTGGGATTAAAGGTGTGCGCCACCACCACCCAGCTATCTGTTGGTTTAAAATAGGCTAATGACTCAGAAAAAAAAAAGCCAATCTATTAAACATGGTTACTTTCACATAAAATTTAAGTAGTTTATTATCAATTTCACTCAGTGAATTATTAGGGAAGCCTTTCTCGATGTATATTTTAGATGTAGGAGCTTTTTCTCTGTTTGAATGTCTGTCTGTCACCCTCTCTCTCTGTCTCTCTCTTAATTACAGGAGTTTGTTGACTGTAGGCTTCCTATTCAAGTGTCTACCACACACAGGAGAGTAGGATTGTTTGCCATAATAGGGCGAAGTTAACTGGCAGGAGCAAGGAAGGCAGAGAAAGAAAGTGGAAAGAGGAGAATTGGGTTCAGAGGATGCTTGAGATCAGAGGGAACTTTTAACTGAAAAAGTAATATACTTTTGTATATATTTTGAAAAACTCTGTCCAAATCCTAGGCTTTACAAGATAGTTTTGAATGTAAACAAGGGTGGTTCTCTAAGCATGGCGGGAGGATTGCAAATAAAAGCCCAGGCTGGGCTTCATAGTGAGACTCTGAAACAAAACAAAACAAAACAAAACAGAAGTGAGAGGTGAGTTTATCTGTAATGATGGAAGGATATAGCTAGAAGAGGGGGAGAAGACTGTTGGTGTGAAGAATCCTCAGAGTGGAGTGGAGGGCTCTGCTTACACGACTGCCTGGGCTCCCTGAATGCCATCCAGGGCAGTGCCTATCTAAAAGAGGCCATGGATTTTCCCACTGTGCTCAAAAATTTAGATCCACAAACTGAATGATGTATTTAATGCATGGTATATCTATGTTCTATTGTGTTCTATTTGCACCTTTTCTGTGCTTGTAGCATTGAAAGAGGCCATTGATACACTGGACTCCATGAAAGGAGGTTATCAGTCTGATAAAGACAGCTATCTGGAGGGAGTGGAAAATGCTGAGGGTAAGTTGGTTAAGCAGACAGCCAGTGGCTTATAATTACATTTATTTTACATCTTTTAAATTAAGGGAGCTTACCCATGGGTTTTCAGTTTTAATGGTTAACATTACTGTTTTTCTGGTTGCCCCCTAAAGTTTATTTTTAGCCATGTGTATGTGCATGGCTGTGTGTGTGGGTACACAAGTGCAGGTGCTGGAGACCAGAGACTGTAGACCCCCTGCATGGAGACATAGGAAGCAGGGAGCTGCCCCATAAGAACCGGGCTGAGTACCTCTGCAAGAGTGTCTGAGCCATCTCTTCAGCCCCCTTCCTAAATGTTTATTTAAGGATTTCAAACTATTTTACCATACCAGTATTGCAAATCATCTCAGATGATTTCATTTTGTTGTTGTGCGTCTTCAAAATGATGTTTATTTTCTACACAAATTTCATTCCACATTAATACATTTTTGTGCGTATTTTAGATGATCTTAGCACTATAGTTTCTCCCTCCTGTCTTCCCCCTTTTTTTCCTCCCCCATTTCTTGTGAAAGGTTATTAGGTAAAGTACTGTTGAATAATTTAATTGAAGCATGCTTGTTTCTGTAGCCAACTATGTTATCTGTTTATTTACAAAAAGTTTACTTGATCTTTTGTATGGCTCTTAACTATATTTTGAAAGACATTTACTGCATTTGGATAGAATTTTAGCAAAAAAATTATAGATAGTTAAAATTTTCCCAAGAGATGGCCAGTGAAATTTGACCATCACACCCTGGGCCTTACCACTCATAATTTCCTGAGTGTCTGTCTGGCACTTCAGGACAGTCTTTATTGCTAGAGCCAATGAGAAGAGCCATGGGCTAAGCATCCTCACCCTGCAGAACCAGTGACGGCACCACAGCAGTCAGTAGTCATCTGGACCAAAATGTTAATAGTGCCGAGGTCTAGAAATCATAGAGTTATCTACAGGATTGTTCAACCCCAACACTTAGGAAAGTATTTTTAATAAGGTTAGGTCATCATACCCAGACAAAAAATTTAAGGTTTGATATATGTGTGTTTTAACCTCCTTTTGTTTCAAATAATACCCTACTACCTATAAATGATTCTAAAACATTCTTTAACTGCAGTGGGACCATTTACACAAAGAGAGTGGGGTTGGGAAGATGACTCAGCAGTTAAGAACACTGGCTGTTTTTCTTGGGGATCTGGGTTCAATTCCCAGCTCCCACATAGCAGCTCACAACTGTCTGTAATTCCAGTTCCAAGGGATATGATGCCTTCTTCTGTCCTCCACAGACAACAGCTACACCCGTGGTCACAGTCATACATGCCAGCAGAACATCCATGCATATAAAATAATAACAATTAAAAAACAGAGTGACTTCTTTTCTATGATCTATCCCTCCAGTAGACCTTTGTTTCGATTTACAGCTCTGAAGAAAGAATGTGAGATAATGCGATAACTGCAGTTGGTACATAGGAAAAGTGCTAGGGGTAGCAGCTTGGTAGATGAAGAAGAGAGGGTGAGAAAGAGAGGACAGGAAGGAGGGAGGGCGAGAGAGGTTGATTTCAGAGGAGTAAGTGAATTCTTGATAGGCGCTAGGAAAGCAGGGGCTCCTGTTAAGTTAGGAATGCCATGTTTAGCCACGTTTAAGGACTGGGTGAAGGGGCTCCCAAAGGAAGCTGGGAGGAACGAGAGTGAGGGATGAGAATATGGTTGACTGGGAAGGGAAGGCTGACACTGATTAGTGTCATCCAGAGAAGAACTCGCGTTACCCCGTTTCCTGTCCAAGTAGGCAAGGTCAGGATGCTGTCCTTCTCTTCATTGTTTCTCTCTCCGTTTTCAGGGTTTATAAAGGAAGCTCTGTCTTCACACCTGAAATTACCAACAATAAGTGGTGAGTATGAACTTCATATGTGATATGTATGCATATATTTCACAGAGCAACAGTTTTTTTTTTACATGCTTTTCAAATGTTGGTGTATTTTTAATGTATCTCGCCCAGACCTATAAGCTGATTGAGAGAGAAAATGTGATATTTATCTTTCTCCGAGTCTGTGTTTCTTCTCTTTACATAATTTTTCCTGTTCCACCCATTTTTTTTTCTGAAAATGTCATGAGTTCATTATCCTTTACAGTGGAATACAGTTCTGTAGTATATAATAACGTTTTCTTTATCTATGGCTGTCTAGGCTGGTTCTGTTTCTTAGCTGTTGTGAGTAAGGTAGCAACAAACACGATGAGCTAGTATCTCTGTGGTGGGCCTTAGAGGTCTTGGGGAGGATGTGCAGGAGAGGTATCTGGGTCATATAGACATCACTTGCATTGCTTATTTTGCAGTCTGTACTACTTCAGCTATATTGGTTCCCCCATCTCATCACAATTAACAAACTTTATCTTTTTACTCCTAAACATTTATATATTCCGTTTCTTGGCATATTCTCCCCTGACCTGTTTTGCTCCTTTATGCTTGCCAGTGAGCTCCCTTCCTCATCTGATAACTCAGACTAATTTCCTTTGTCGTATGCTCTTATTAGTTCATTTCTGTTTCACAGTACTCATTCCATATAAGTACTGTTCGTGGTTTTAATTATTTGGTTAATGTTATCCCCTCCTATTTGTCTGGAAGTGCCAGTGGCCTAGGAATAATTTCAGCTCTAGAATACGGTGAAATCTTGGTTCTTATCTTACTGTTAAGAAAAGCTAATTAAATTTAGTATACAAGATATTGTTTTGGATCTTTTATGATAACTTATAATTTAAAACATATATCGAATAAATGGCTTGCTTTTTTATCTCTTTAGCCTTGCTGTTTATCATGCATGTTTTTGTATTTCTTTTATAGTCATACTACTTACCATAAGTTAAATTGCTTCAGTTTGCTTTTGGGTTCATGTTTTTGTATACACTATTACTTTGTAATATTTCTTGTTGGATCAACTTACCCTTGCCCCACCACCCAGGAGCTTGGCTCAGCTGTCATATTCCATTTCATAGAGCCTTATTCCACGTTTATTATGCACTAATGAAGTGAGAAGGTTAATCTGAGATTGATCTTGTGTGTCTTCCCTCATAGCACTGATTATGTAATAGATTTTAATTAAGTTTACAGAGACGGCAGGAAACTCTTTGGTAAGGGGGTTGGTTTTTCGATGGTGTTGTTGGTAGCTGTAAAATGACCATGAAGTGGAAGGATGTAGATGGTGTTTTTTCCCAGTGACGTTCATGGAGGCTCGAGTCACTTTGTGTAACTTAAGAGTATGGAAATAAACACAACTTCGTTTTGAAGTTAAAAAGAGAAATGGTGTAGATAAAAAAATGTAAAACACCAACGCTTTAAAATATATCTTATATTATAAATTCTGTCAGATATGTGGGAGTCATGTTGGCTATAGAGGTTGTGGACAGAAGAATCTGGTTGAGAGAGAACATTGATAAACCTCTAATAAAGCTCTATGAAATGGAGTCCAGGTTCCTGCCCTGACTTCCCTACATGAAGGACTAAGCTGTAAAGTGAAGTAAACCGTTTCCTCCCCAAGTGCTTGGTCGGTGTTTATCACCGTGACAGAGAGCAGGCTAGAACATGCACTACCATCTGTTTGCCATAAACTTTTTTTTAACTTAAATATTGTTTGACATAAGGAGGTCATCATTACCCAATAGAAAATATTATACTTCTACTAGATTTTTGGTTCTGCTAAGTATTTAACACATGGCTTTGCCCATAGTGGGTTTTGGATAAATTGGTTTATATGTTTTATTCTTTTAAGACAGGTTTTCTGTTATGTGTCTTTGACTGTCCTGGAACTCTCTCTCTAAGTAGACCAGGCTGGCCTCAAACTCATGGAGATCCACCTGCTTCTGCCTCCTGAGTGCTGGGATTAAAGGCACTCCCAGCCCTTTATGTACTTTTAACAATAGTATGTTGTACATATTTATCTCTGTAGAGATCCAAGAAGCTGCTGACAGCTTGTCACATGTTGATAATGGCAAAATCTCCGTATCTAACTTGGAGCATGCCTTGAAATCTCTGCATGCTAATCTAAGTGAAGAAGACTTCAGAGACGCTCTTGAGCACTGTGACACTGGTGGTGAGCTGCCCTCCTTTATTCCTTGCTTAAGAATATCTTCATTTTTCCTACTCCTGGGAAATATAGAAATGTAGAATATATATACAAGATTAACATGAGAAATAGAGTCATGTTATTGGATACTTGGTTGATATGTCAGGGCCATATCTAACTGCTCATACTCATCTGCTTATGATATATACTTTTTAGATAATTCCCATTCATTACCTACAAGCCTGAGTGGGGAAATGTCATACACTGTAGAAAGTATTTTGTCTTCATATGGAATCTTTCTTTAGAGGAGATCCAACTTCACCTGTCCTTTTATAGATAGTGCCTGTCACAAATTATTTTTAATCAAATAAATTAAAATGCGTTTTAAAAGTGCAGTTGTTTGGTTTGAGTAATTGTCTCCCAAGTGGCTCCATATTTACCCTCATTTCCCACCACTGACTTCAGCGATACATACTTGATCCCTTTTCATGAGTTACGTGCATGTGACTGTAAATATGTGTGTATGTATATGCATATTACTTTTAGAAAATGAAAATATTTGGCAATCTTCTAGAAGATGCTGATTTTCATTGGTTTGAGGTGAGCTTTTATTTTGAGAATATCTGTCTTTGTTTTCTGTGGGAATCCTAAGTGTTCTAGGTTTGGAAGTGCCTGTCTCACATGATATGGTTATTGATTTTTATCACCTCCTCTAGTTTATTGATTGATTGATTGGTTTTTTTGAGACAGAGTTTCTTTGTGTAGCTTTGGAGCCTGTCCTGGCACTAGCTCTTGTAGACCAGGCCAGCCTCGAACTCACAGAGATCCACCTGCCTCTGCCTCCCGAGTGCTGGGATTAAAGGCGTGCGCCACCACCGCCTGGCTCTTTAGTTCCTGGTTAACCTTTCTTATTTCTTTTACAAGACTCTAGTCATAGGTGAATAGACTGTACCTTTTATATGGTGTCTCCTGGGGTTTATCTGGTATGTTTCCTTGGTTACCCATATTGTCATTTCATTATAGTTTAGACTCTCTCAGGACTACTGTGACTTTGTATCAGTATTTGTATACACTTATAGTAACATTGTCACTCCTGCAATGAGACTGAATCATTTCAAATAACAGCCTCTAGAACTTCCTGGTTCTATCGTTTGAACAAGCTAATTTCTCTTTGCTTTCATCATCTAACAATAGTCATATTAATGATACACAAACATATAGTATTGTAAAGATTAAATGAATTAATACATGTAAAGTGTCATATATAAAGGAAATAAGATGATAATTAATATTAACAATGAATCATAAGTGTTAGAAGTTCTATTGAAATAATTCCTATAATTTGAGAAAAGTGGATGAAAATGAGTTTACAATTATTGTGAATCATAATCTTAATTTCATGGGCTGATTAAATACAACATTTTTAATGTCAGCATGCTTGATTTTGACCTTCCAGATAACATGGAGGTGAACTTAAAAGATTTCTTAGAGGAAGTGAAAAGTGCTCCAAGCTTTAAGGACTCCATAGGTACGTGAGTACTTCTGCTGCAAGAAGGTGACTGGAAATTCGCTTTATAACTTACGCAAATCTAAATTAGTTATGTATTTTAAAGACTTGCGTGTGTGTATGCACGCGTATATGCATGAGAATGGTCCTGTGGGTGCCCATGGAGGCTAGAGACATTGACTCTCCAGGAGCATGAATTACAGGTGGTCCTGAGTCCCTCAGGTGTGTGACGGGAACTGAACTGGGGCAATCTGTGAAGAGCAGTATGCACTCTTAATCACTGAGCCATTTCTTGAGCTCCTAGATGTGTATTTGTAATTGACACATAAGTTATAAACATAAACCTTGCCTTTTAAAATATATGCTTTATTGGTTTTGATCACAAAGTCATATACCCTGCCTCAGCCTTCCCGTGCCGGGGACTACAAGCATTCACTACCACACTGAACTCATCTTGTTTTAAAACATGCACATTTTCTTACGGATCTCTTATTTTTTTCATTTCTCACAAAACTATCCGCACACACAGGCTTGTGTCCTTTAAGAGCCGTGGTTTGAAGTGCCCTCCGCGTGTCTGCTATTCAGCTAGCTCTTGCCTCAGGCCTTATTTTTAGTTCCCTTCTGGGGCTGACTTGCTTCCTGAGTCTGTATTTTTCCTTGCTATGAGTCTTTCTGTATTTTGCTAATGTCTGTTTTCCATGAGAGTCAAAGAAAGGAAGCACGAGAGTGTGGAGCTTTGAGTCTTGGAGTGCTTGTAAGTATCCTCCTTTTACCTTCGCCTTCCTTGGTTCTGTGTCCGTCAGTCACTTTTCTTAAGGCTGTGACAGCATCCCTGACAAAATCAGTGTGAGGAAAGGCTCTTCTGCTGGATTCCGGTCTGAGGGCACAGCCCGTCGTGACACTGTAGGGTGGCAGGAGCATGAGGCAGTCAAGTTGAGAAGCAGAGAGAAATGCACACTGCTGCTCAGCCCTCTTTCTCCTTTCCATCTGCTCAGGACCAGCCCGTGGGATGGTGCTGCCCACATGCAGGCTCTCTGCTGTTCAGTGTCAATCTTTCCCGAAGCACCCTCGGTAGACTTAGCTGGAGATGATTTCTGTGTTGGTTGTAAACCTGTCAGGCTGACAGCCAAGATTAAAGATCACGACTAGATATTAAATGTTGCATCTGTTAAAAAGCTTATCATCTAGTAGTAGTTCTGGAGTTGTTTCCCTTCCTATATCTATCCAGCCACGCTTTTTATTTGGTATACATATGTACATGCATACATATATACATATATATATATATATATATATATTTGTCTTATATATATTCTCAGTTGTGGGCAGTGTTAACAAGAGCTGGAGGAAGGAGCTTTCTGGGCCAACAGACGTTTGGGCGATTATGTACCCCAAGTGTAGTATTTATTAATAATTTTGAACAAAATGACAGCATGTTTACATTTTGCTCCTCAGGTTAACCCTTTTGTATCATTTCTTTGTTTTAGTAGTACAACTTTTAGTTAAATAATGCAGTGTAGCTTTGGTTTAAAGGTTATTTGTAACACGTTACAGTGGTCTCAGGGGCCCACATGTGAAGCAATCTGTGGCCCAGTGTTTTGGGCCATTATTAGTTTGGGCAATAGTTTGACTACCCAAATGTATCTGTCTGAAAGAATGTATCTGTCTGAAAGAATGTATCTGTGTTGCCTGGGTTTGAATTTTGTTCTTACCATGTAATCGATCAATTAACCAATGTACTCTTCTGCAAGTCAACTTAATCTTGCTGGCCTCAGTCTCTTCACCTGAAAGATGGGCATCCTAACAATTACTTTTAAGGTTATTGTGAGATCTAATAGGTGAGGTGCTTAGAGCAGTGTCGAGCACTAAGGTTTTAATGATTGTTAGCTACTGTTTTTAAAGCTATGTTCGAAGTTTCATGTATGTTTCCATTATTTTATGCAACTCAAGTCAAATGGTGGTTAGTGCATGGTGTCTGCTGTTGAAACATTTTCTTTGGCTATCTTTCTGTAGTCACACAGCTCCTCCTAGCCACTCCCCAAATTCTCCAGAAGGATCTAATTGATGTCTCTGACTTCAAGGAGTTATTGGTGAATGACAATCTTCATTCCGCTAAAGCCGTACTGACAGAAGTGTTAAAAAATGTGCCTGAGCATGGTAAGTGGTTTTAATCTATCTGCCTTAAATGGACTGTTCTCTACAGGTGAAGGAAGAAGGTATCTGGGTGGAGCACACAAGACGGAGGGTGGTCCTGTACCAACTGCAGTGGGGTGACTGGTCACGCTACCCTACTTGTGTGCCAACTCAGAGCTCCACAGAGCCAAATAAAGCAGGGAATCCAGAACCCATTCTGTCCCTGTGGAAAACCAACGGCGGTGCTTATGGAGTGAGGTAATCTGGTGAACTGATTGGCATGGGCTGTCATCAACCAGAATTCTACCTGTAGAGCAGAGAAGGTTCCTGGGGCCCCAAGTCAGGTGCTAATCCTCCAGACACTGAATCACGGACGACAGAGGCTGCTGCACACAGTGGTGGCTCAGAGAGGCAGATATTTCTAACGTACAAGATAACTATTATTTTAGTGACAGGTGCGGTTGGATGTTGTCTTTACTAAGTTCTTAAAATGATTTGGAGAATATTCTTTCTATTTTCTTCCTCAAATATTTAGTAGAACTCATAAGTGAAGACATGTACTGAGAGATTGTTTTAAAATTTTAGTGTGTGTGTGTGTGTGTGTGTGTGCATGCACACATGGTGACCGTGGAGGCCAGAGGTCTCAGATCTCTGGGGATGGGGCCACAGGCAGTGGGAAGAAAAATAGCAATAATGTCATAGATTTTTAAAAAATGAATCTGTTTTAATATATTATCACTAATATGATAAAGTCAATAAGTATTTAGAAAGAAATAGAATTGCAAATTTTAGAGAATGTAAGAGACAAGAGAAAAGAAACAGTACATGTTGACCTGTCTGTTATCTTAAGTTTTAATATATTTAGAAACATTTCTTTCAGCTAAATTTTTCCTTGCTTTCCAGAAGAAGGCAAAGTTACCGTTAAAGATTTTATCATCAAGTTTGGGGATACCTTGACAGCTCTAAAGTCTGAACGTGAGTTTTCCTTAGAATGTGTTTAATGCTCACATTTGGAAAGACAAACTGTGGCTTGCATATGAAAACAGTCTAGATTTAGATAAAGCCCATGTAAGATGCAGTAGGAAGACAAACAGCGCAAGGTAGATTATTTGTAACTTTGCTTTGAGTGATGACGCAAATGTTACTAAATGTAACGTAAACCTAGAATTGTGGGCAGTCTCACTGAGAGTGCTAGAGAATTATCCAGTGATGTTTCATTCTCGGAGACCACTCATGATGCACATTTGACTTCTGAAATGATTAGAAAATTAAGAACAGTTAGAAAACAATTTTTTTTCATTTTTTTTAATTGAGAATAAGAAAAAAAAGTTTCCGCCTCCTCCCAGCCTCCCATTTCCCTCCCCCTCCCCCAATCTTCTCCCCCTCCTCCCTCTCTTCTCCCCCTCCCCCCACTCCTCTCTCCCTCCCTCTCCTATCCAAAGAGCAGTCATGGTTCCCTGCCCTGTGGAAAGTCCAAGGTCCTCCCCGCTCTGTCCATGTCTAGGAAGGTGAACGTCCAAACTGGCTAGGCTCCCACCAAGCCAGAACATGAAGTAGGATCAAAACCCCTTGTCATTGACCTTGGCTTCTCATCAGTCCTCATTGTTCGCCATGATCAGAGAGTCCGGTTTTATCCCATGCTGTAGATGATATGATAGTGTACATAAGTGACCCTCAAAACTCCACCAAGGAACTTTTACAGCTGATAAATACCTTTAGTAATGTGGCAGGATACAAGATCAACTCCAAAAAATCAGTCGCCTTCTTATACACAAAGGATATGGAAGCAGAGAGGGAAATCAGAGAAGCTTCACCTTTCACAATAGCCACAAACAGCATAAAATATCTCGGGGTAACTCTAACCAAGGAAGTGAAAGATCTATTTGACAAGAACTTTAAAGCATTGAAGAAAGAAATTGATGAGGATACCAGAAAATGGAAGGACCTCCCTTGCTCTTGGATTGGGAGGATCAACATAGTAAAAATGGCAATTCTACCAAAGGCAATTTATAGATTCAATGCAATTCCCATCAAGGTCCCATCAAAATTCTTCACAGATCTTGAGAGGACAATAATCAATTTTATATGGAAAAATAAAAAACCCAGGATAGCCAAAACAATCCTATACAATAAAGGATCTTCTGGAGGCATTACCATCCCTGACTTCAAACTCTATCATAGAAAACAATTTTTAAAGGGTTTGGCAACTGAGTGGAGTAGATCTTTAAAACTATTCTTTTTTTTTACATTATCAAGTACTGTATACTGTGTTTTTCACAAATTTATGAATAACATATAAACTTAGTTGGCAGTATGGTTCTGTGTAACTGCTACCATAAACAATGTGTGAACATCCCATCCATAAGAGCTCCATTGTGCTGTTTTAGGATCCATTTCCTACGCTAGCCCCTAGAGCAGGGACCACTGCTACTCTCTGTGATAAACTTCCAGAAGTTACCATGTCTAACTTTCTACCCTTTGACCAACATCCTATTTTCCTCCTGACAGCCATCATCACACTCTGCTTCTTGGATTCTGTACAAGTGACACCATGCAGTAATTGTTCACAAAGAAAATGTCCCCTAGGCTCAGCTGTTTTTGAAAACGACAGGATCCCCTGTTTTTTGAGGCTGAAAAGTATTTCATAATTACTTTACTTTTGGGACAGTCTTGCCATGAAGTTCAGGCTGGCCTGGTACACGCTATAGAGCTCATTCTGTCCGTAAACTCGGGGCGATCCTCCTTCAGTAGGTGTGGTGGGACACATCTGTAATCCTATGATCACCATACTTGGATATCCCATTATGTTTAATCATGTTTTCATTCATATCTTTCCTAAGAAATTCACAAAATCTGTAGAACAAAAATTCTAAATCATTCCTGAAGAATACAAAATTATGTTTTACTTGGAAGAAAGTAGAAAAATACCTCTTTTCTGGAGAGGACTACCTTAAGGTCAATAATTAAGTGATTTTTTTATATATATTTAATACAGTCTCAATAAAGGTAACAACAGCTTTTTTTTTTTTTTTTTTTTTTTTTTTTTTTTTTTTTTTTGGTTTTTCGAGACAGGGTTTCTTTGTGGCTTTGGAGCCTGTCCTGGAACTAGCTCTGTAGACCAGGCTGGTCTCGAACTCACAGAGATCCACCTGCCTCTGCCTCCTGAGTGCTGGGATTAAAGGCGTGCGCCACCATCGCCCGGCTCAACAGCTTCTTTTTAGAACCAACAAGCTTGATGTATATATAAATTAGCATGTAAAAATTAACATGAGAACACTGAGATAGAAGAGCTGCTGAAAGCCTAACCTACCATGTCTTTACATTTTTATACTGCAAATCTTTATAATCACATCATCTGATACTATTGCATGAAAAGTTAAATGGTCAAAATGATATAGAAAATCCAGGAATAGACCTTATTATGGTTGACATTTGTTAAATGGTTACAAAATACTGGTATCATTTCAGGTTGCTATAGGAAATAAGATTGGTTCTCTTCCGATGAGCATGGTTTGAAAACTGGGTAGGCAAATGGGAAATTTATGTAGAAAAATATTATATATATATATATATTCACAGATAGGAGTAAACTACAAACTCTTCAGTATTTAAGCACAAAAATGAAATCCTAAACGCCTCAGTGGTTTGGACATAGGAGAAATCTTTCGGTTTTTGTTTCAAAATATAGATGGAATTACAGTGTTTATCTTTTTTCTTTTTTGATACTGCAGTTCCAGACAGGTGTGAGCCATAGTGTGAGTGCTGAGAACGGAACCCAGGTCTGGAAGAGCTCTTATTGACTAAACCATCTCCCAAGCATACCATGTTTACATTGACCTCATATTCTAGAATCTTACGAAATTATGGTTTTAGGAGATGTTTCAGGTGGCATAGCTGTCTACCATAGATGGTCAATTTTCCTCTTATTTAGCAGATGGTTGCCCTTATCTCTGCTTTGTATGCTGGCCACAGTCTCTGGCAGAGCGTTGGGTAAGGTGGAGTCTTTTTTATGTTTCTGATCTTAGAGGAAACCAGCTAGTGTTTCAGTGTTAGGTTTATCGTTAACTGTAGAATGTTCATTTTTTTTCCCCAGGTTGAATAAATTCTCTTCTAATTCTGTGGTCCTCGTCTCTTCCCAGGAGAGAAAGAGCAGCTTTACAATGCTGACATTGACAGAAATAATGCTAATGCCATTTCTGACATTAAGGAGAATGTCAGAAAGGCTATAGGAATCGACCTAACAGACAGTGAAGTCCAGAAGGCGCTGGATAACACTACTCCTTCCAGTGAGTGGTCATTTCATCAAAAAACCGACACTTAAGATTATCTTACTTTATACCAGCGAAGGTGCCATATTTCTCGTGTCACTCATCCTAAGTGTTCAAGGAGCTGTAGCCAGCCTATTTCTTTTTCCTCCTCTCCCTCCTCCTCTTTCTCTCCTTCAAAAAAAAAAAGAATATTTTTCTTATTTTTTAAACTAAGACATTTGTATTAAAGGGCATTTTATTTATTTACTTCATTTCTTTTGGGGGGGTAGGGTGGATTTTTCACTCATACTTCCGTATAACAGTTCACAATTAAAAACAGTTAAGGCAGGAACTCAAACAGTGCAGGAACCTGGAAGCAGGGGCTGGTGCCAAGGTCATGGGGGAGCGCTGCTACTGGCTTGTCCTTATTGCTCAACCTGTTTAAAAAATATTGTTGATTATTTTTGAGACTGTGGGTTTTTTTTTGTTTTTGTTTTTGTTTGAGACAGGGTTTCTCTGTGTAGCCCTGAGTGTCCTAGAACGCACTGTATAGAACATGTTGGCCTCAAACTCACAGAGATTGGCCTGCCTCTGCCTCCCAAGTGCTGGGATTAAAGGCGTGCACCACCACTGCCTAATGAGACTGTATTTTAATTACATTTCTCTCTTCCCTTTACTTCCTCTAAACCCTCCCTGACATTCCTCCCTGCTTTCCCTCAAGTTCATGGCCTCTTATTTTTTCATAAATTGTCACTGTATGCCTATATGTCTTTGTATGTACATATATTCACAAATATAATTTATTGAGCCCCCAAAATGAACATATTTTAAAAGTAATATCCCTGATAGGTTTTATTCTAGATCTGCTTATCACATGTTCCAAGATAATAGTTGGGTTTCCTTTTTATTTTTGTGTTTTCCAACACTGGCTTTATAACATCAAGTAGTCTTTTCTTTTCTTCCTTTTTTTTTTTTTGTCAGAGTATCTAAACTGTCCCTTCCTTTTGTTAAAGGTGAGATGGTACAGTTGAAGGATATCATCAGAGGACTGGCCAACACTGATATATTTAATGAGTGCCAGAGTAAGTATAAAATTTGAAAAGCTGCAGACAGAAGTTTCAGGTTTGTAGGCTTCTGTGTGTATTTGCATTTTTGGTATGTGTGTATGCATGCGAATATGTGTGCTGGCATGTGGTGGGTGGAACTTTGTAATCAAGAGGCCAGAGGTTGATGATGTCATCTTCGTCAGTTCCTCTCTACCTTATATAGTGAGCAGGGTTTCTCACCTGAGCCAGAGCTCACTGATTGGGTCTAGTCTACCCAGCCACTTTGTTCTGGGGATCCTTTGTCTCTTTCATGGCCTGGGATTACTGGTGGGTCACCATGCCTGCTGGATATCCAAATTCCGGTCCTCACTGTTGCCTGCCAAGCCAGCTCCCCAGTTCTTGTATGTGTCATTTTTAGCAGAGCCCCTTCTTGGCTTCTTGCCGACACCCCCAGGTGCTGGTCTGTACTGTGCTTATGTGGTGTCTGAGACCGGAGGCTTGTCAGGCAAGCTGTCTAAACTGAGCTACATCCGTGGGCCCTGACACCATTAGGGGCACTTTGATGGTTGTTGTTTAGTTTTGTGAGTTGAATGCTTAAGATAATATGTCTTAATTTATGTTGTTTTCTAGTTGAGCATCAAGACCTCTAAATTTTATGGCACTTCCTATTTAACAAAGAAAAAAAGAACTGGTATTCTAGAAAATGAATACATTTTCTTCATATCAGGTTGTTTGTTATGGGTCTGGACAGATAGTTCAAGAACTAGGACCTGATTCTATCTGCAGTCTTTATAAAAAAGTCCAGCATTGCTGGGTGGTGGTGGCACATGCCTTTAATCCCAGTACTGGGGAGGCAGATGCAGGTGGATCTCTGTGAGTTCAAGGCCAGTCTGGTCTACAGCTAACTGCTGTAGCTGAAAGTACTAGCCCTGCTTTTATATTTTTCCATCAAAATAGGAATAGAGGACACAAGCAACATTGTCGATAAAATCACTGATGAAAAAGTTGAAGTTAAAGATCTTTTATCTGTCATAAAGAGCTTTGAGAAATCTTTACAGGAGAAAGACAAGCCTGGGGAGTTTCCGACTTCTGAAATGGATGGTGAGTACTTAGTTACTTCTCAGGTCTTGCTTTAGGAGACACATGCTCAACAGGCTCTTTTTAAACAAATGATAACACTGTGTGTTAGGGACAATACTGTATGTTAGGATAATACTGTATGTTAGGGAGCTTTAGGGAAAGCATGCTCACACAGGCTCTTTTTAAATGAACTTTAACACTGTCTGTTAGGGAGCTCTTTATGAAACTGATGCCCACATATTAGTCAAGGTGGAGAATGTTTGGAGAATCTTTATTTGGATGAGACTAATAGACATAATCTTGTCATTAATGTTTCGAAACCAGCTTCTCATTCATTGTTATGCAATAGTTAAAAATATTGTGTTTCTATTTCTTCAGCCCTGGATTCTAAAGGTGACACATGGGCTTTTTGATCCTTTTGGTACAGGATATAATATTAGTCCCGTCACCATTGTCGTAGTCATAGAGTGCTTAGACTTGATGGGCTGCTAAAGGACAAGATGTGTGTGACTTCTGGGGTCACTAGAAGGCATCCGCTGCAATGGTCCCATTTCCTTTGCAAGGAGAATGGATGTGCACAGCTGGCTGTACATCAAGGTGGGCAGCAGCAGTGCTCACTTAGCTTGGTCTAGCTGGCTACTTGGAGAGGATGCAGTCAGAAACTTTTGCCTCTCAGTTCTGTAATTCCTTCTTTTTTATAGTAACTAAATAAATCTGCCTTTAATATTTGCTCAACTGAGAAGCTTTGGCCTAATGTTTGCATCCTTGAGTTATATTATGTTTACTCGGTATGGGACCTTTGGGGGTATCTGCTCCATTTGTTTGTTTTGCTGTTTTGAGAAAAGGATTCATAGATCCTAGACTGGCCTTGGATTTATTGTGGCCATGGATGATCTTGAATCTCTGGTCCTCCTCCTCCTACCTACTGATTGCTTAGATTACAAGTGTGCACCATCATGCCTTGTTCATGCAGTCCTGGGAAGCTTTGTGTAGGTAAGCAAACACCTCACCAGTTGAGCTTTATTCCCAGCTCATAGGATATCTTTTTTCATATATATGTGCATATATACATACACATATATGTAAGCATATGCATGTATATATATTTATCTTTCTTATATAGTCTAATGTATTATTTAGCTAACTATAAAGTACTTGAATTTTAATTGATACTAAACACTCTTTGAGGATAAAGAATATAAAGAGTATGACTATTTGCTAAGAACATCTTTATTCTGTCGTATGATACATTTTGGATGCAAGCAATAACCCATAAGTTAATTCAGAAATTTATCTGAGAGTAACGTTTCTAGAAGAATAAAGAGATTTGGGGATGAAGATCTCCATGAAAACACAATGAAAGGATGAGGACAACCTGGGTGTTAAATAGTCATGCAAATTATGTGCTCAAAGCATAACTCTGCAGCTATTGAATTAAAAAACTGCAATGACATAAAACATAAAAGGTAAAATGTACAGAAAATACATAGGCTATAGCTTCATGAATAGCCTTATTTTTCAGACACATGTGCCAGAGAACTTGGGAGAATGGAACTTAAAAACTGAGGAAGTGGTGGGTTGTTTGGAGGAGGGCTGCATGTTGGTTCCCGGCTGCCCGTTTAGCTTAGACCCGATATAATCACACAGAAACCATATTATTTAAATCACTACTTGGCCCATTAGCTCTAGCTTCTTATTAGCTAACTCTTACATATTAATTTAACCCATCTCCATTAATCTGTGTATTGTCACGTGGCAGTGGCTTACCAGCAAAGTTTCGGCATGTCTGACTCTGGTGGCTGCTCCATGGCGTCTCTCTGACTCCATCTTCATTCTCCCATGCTATAGACCAAGCCAGTTTCATTATTCATTAACCAACAAAAGCAACACAGAGACAGAAGGAACTCCCACACCAGTGGGTAGCTTCTGCCGTGGTCTAGGAGAAACTTGTATGTTCTGATGTCTGTGGCAGCAGTGAGTGTATGTGGCTGTAAACAGTCTGAGCTGACCTCCATTAGCCTCCAAGAACACTTATATTTATATTTCAAGATGTTCAAATTGGCATTTCATAGCCTATGTTGACATGTGAAATGGCTGTCACTCCTCACCACACCATTAATGGATTCTTTGTGATTAATGAAGTTAATGAAGTTTTTGCCTTGTTTTTCAGCTGTCAATCTAGCCTCATACTGTATTTCCCTTACGTATTTACTTTTTTGCTGTTTTTATTTTACTCTTTCTATTCTACTGTTTTGTATTCAGTTAAATAAATAAAAGATAAAGTTGATGGTAGAGAAGTATAAACATTTTAAATGAAGAAATTTGAAAAAAAAATAAAAGTTTTAGAAACTAAAAGTATTAAAATTAATCATCTGCTAATGATACTTGTATATTAAATAAAGAAAAATAAGAACTGGAAAACAGTTTGATATATAACCTGTGTATGAGTTTTAAAAATTGGCGGAAAATCACATGAGTTATGTAATAAATGTGATAGGTCCCGAATAGCATTAAAAAGAAAATGGAACACTTCCAAATTCAGTAGAAACTTTTAGAGTCTAACTTGTTAGGCGGTGGTGGTGCATGCCTTTAATCCAGCACTCAGGAGGCAGAGGCAGAGGCAGGTAAGTATCTGAATGGGGCCATCCTGGTCTATAGAGTGTGTTCCAAGTTAGCTGGGACTACACAGTGAAATCCTGTCTTGAAAAAACAAAAACCAAAACAAAACAAAAAACCCAGCACCCCCTAAAACCCTTGAATCTCTGTGTGTTGTGTATGTGTGTTGTGAGGGTGGGAGGTGTGTGCCCACACATATATTTGCACTCACTCAATCTAACCAATGTGCTGTGATCACAGAAATTTGGAAGTTGAGTGGAATGATCTTAAAACAAATATTTTAAATATTTATTTTTATTTTATGAGTATGAATATTTGCTTGCATGCATATAGGTGTAGCACATATAAGCCTGATGCCCTCAGAGGTCAGAGGAGAGTGTCAGATCCCCTTAGCGGGAGTTATACGTGGTCATAAGCTACCATATGGGTGCTGGGACGTGAACCCCAGTTCTCTTCAAGAGCAGCCGATGTTTTTAGCCTCTGAGCCATCTCTCCAGCTCCTGGTGTCCTGTTTTAAACAGACTCATTTAAACCCTACTCTTTTAACTTTGCAGAAAAAGAAGTGATCTTAAAAGAAGCAGTTACTTCTTTCATTGACTCATCTAGTCCAGCAACACCATTCAACAGTAAGCATAATAAAAGAATAAAATTAAAATTTAAAAATTATCTTATGGTATTTCAAGTTTTTCTAAGATACTTTTTGTTTTATCTTTATTTTCAGCATCTTCCCCATGTTTCCTCTGCCTTATTTGAAATGTTATGTTATATCCAGACTTCTCCTTCCTTAGCATGTTTAATTTGTATTTTGAGTATAAACTACTTCTCTCAATATACGTATGCTGTGTTGTAGAAATGTCTCTTTACTCCAGTGGCACATTTCCCTCACGTCTCTGACTCTCTGTGTGGTTATCGTCTCACTGATGAAAGTGCTGGGAAGGTCAGAGCAGTGAAGCTCGCAGACATGCTTGTGAAAGAGGAAGGCCCCTGAAGTATAAGATAAGGCCTTGCTTTTTAGTGTGCACCAGAGTTTTCTTTCACAGTTTCCTTTCCTCAACTCCTTGGCTTCAGTTTCTGCTTTTTAACCTCCTTCTCTGAACTGCTGCCCAGGTGTTGGCAAGCTCAGCTGCTGGTGGTACAGTGGAGTGGGTAGCAGAAACGCCTCTGAGAGCAAACAGTTAACAACCAAAATGAGCTTCCTCAGAAGTTATGCAGAAAAGGAACTTTTACCTACCTACCGTGTGATTTTGTTTGTTGTTTGACCTCTAAAAACAAAACACACTGATGTGTTTTAAAAGCTTTTTGACTCAGAATGCCTTTAAAGATATATACCTACTTCCTTTTTGTAGGCTGTGGGTACCAAGGATTAAAGATGACTTGATCTCAACATCTGTTTTCATTTCCTCCTGTATTTGCAGGCTTACTGAAAGAGATTACATCTCTTGATAATATCAGAAAAAATAAGATGGCTGCAAGTGAACTGGTCTCCAATATTATGAGTACTGGAATTCCAATAAGCCACGATACTATGCAGGAGATCCTGAAACAGGCCTCTGTCAATGGTGAATTCCTTCTTATTGTACAGTTTCCTCTCGGCAACTGTTTGGTGTCTTTTTAACATGTAGATATAGTTTACATGCTGTATAACCCACCCCAAGATGATGATGATGTGTGCATGTGTAATGAGCCTTCCTCTGTCCTGCCAGCCAGCTTCTCAATAATGACATGGAGACTTATTATTACTCAAGAAAGCCCATCTTCAGCTTAGGCTTGTCCCTCCAGCTCCTATAACCTAAATTAACCCATTTATATTAATCTATATTCTCTCATGTGGCATTGCTTTTCTTCCATCTTGCACCTCCTGTTTTCTTTCCATATCTCCTGGCTTCTCTGCCTGTTTTCTTCTCATAGTCTTCCCTGTCTCTGGAAGTCTGACCTAACCTCTTGCTGCCTAGCTATTGGCTATTCAACTCTTTATTACACCAATTACAGTACAAATATTCCACAACATTTCCCCCTTTTGTCTAAAAAGGAAAGGTTTTATCTCTAACATAGTAAGGCTGTATATAATAAAAAAAATTATTAGGTAAGAATTACATCCGCAATGTCTAATACATTTGTATTTGACATATTCAGAGAAAATACTCTATTATGTATCTTATCCTGATGAATTTAAAGTCTTATAAATAAGCCATTTTCTATCATAACTTGTATTACCATCCTAAAATTATCTTTTTAGACCTCTAAACATTTTCTTAGATAAACAGCTTAAGCTTTTATGTTTCTCAACTTCAGAGACTTTATATTTTATTTAAGTATTTTTTAATTTAGTAGCAAGGAAAACTGTAAAACTATAACTACCTAGTTTTCAGCCCCTTAAAAAACTTGAGAAGGATATGTCTGAGTAAACAGGAAGCATAGAGCAAGCAACTTCCAAAACTGTAGAAATAACAGAGATATCTGGCTGCCTGCATAGTCACCCAAGGTTTCTCTGTAAGTTTGGGGCATCCATCTTTTGCCTGCAGGTCTAAGAATATCTGATAGACTTTTGTAAAGCAGGAATTTTTGAAGGACTGTCCTACCTTGCCTTGGCAAAGTTTGTCAAATGCCTTCTTTTGCGTCCTGCTTGTCCAGTTTGGACAAGCATGCTGTCAGCAGTTGAGGCAATGGCAGTTTCTTTTCCTATTGGATAGCTTTGCCACAAAGGAAAGCAAATTCTATATGGAGGTTCTTTGATGTGTATCACCTTCTCTGAAGCTTGGTGCTGCCTGGAGCAGATGTGTCTCACTGTCACGAAAAGACTTACGTTATTAAAATATCTTAAATGCCATATTCTGTAGATCTTGGAAGTATTTAAAGACCATCTATCTGTCTAAAATATATTTGTTTGACCTTAAAGACATACCTAACATTACTATATTTGATTATTATAGATTGCTAACTCCTAATTTGTCTTTATTATCCTAAATAGTCTTCAAGAACTAAAATTTTGCATTTTTAAATGAGTTGCATAGCTATAATATCTCAAACAAGAATAAAAACATATACAATATAACAAAAATAACCTTAAATCTGTATCAATATACAAAAATATCTTAAACAAGACTAGAAACATATATAGAATATTTTCTAACAAAAATAGCCTTCATTTTGTATCCACATACAAAATCCATACCAAAGTGAAATATTTGAGATTAATGGTTGCTTCTTAGTTTAAAGTAGATTCAATAACCTGCCCTTTTATCTCTTTTCAGAAAGAGATCCTTGAATCTAACCTTCCTTGTTTAGTTTCCTCCCTTACCATGACCAGTAACAATTTGCAGCCAACCCCCCATAAATGCTTAAGCTGCATTTACCACCCAGCTCTGGGAAGCTGGGAAGCCCTCTTTCCCGAGTCCCCGTGAGCAGCAGCCTGCTGTCTTGAGTGCTCTGCTGTGGCTGGCAGGCATGACTGCTCTGTCTGTGTGGTCCCAGAGGCCCTTCATTGTCCGTTTTCAGGAGCCATCCATGTTTTTTGAGACAGAATCTCATATTGGTCTGCTGCTTGCTGGTTAGGCCAGGCCTGCTGGCCAGCAAGCTCCAGGGGTTCTTTTGTCTTCATCCCCTCAGGGCTGGGATCACAAGTGGTTGCCACCACACCTGGCTTTTCTAGGGAGCCAAACTCAGATCCACTTTGCTGTGAGTCAAGTACTTTGTCAACTGAGTTATATCCCAGTCCTATCATTTTTACTGTTTTATGATTTAAAAGTTTCTTCTTTCATTTGTATATGCAAAGTGTGTGTGTGTGTGTGTGTGTGTGTGTGTGTGTGTGTGTGTGTGTACATATATGTACATGTGGAGGCCCAAAGTTGATGTCAGAAATCTTCCTGGATCGTTCTCCACCTTATCATTGAGGCAGAATCACTCAGCCGAACCCAGAGCTCACTGATATAGCTTCTCTTGCTAGCCAACTTGCTCTGGGATCTACCCTACTTTCCTTCTGAGGGTGGAGTTACAGAGGGCCTCCTGCCCAGCAAGCTGCATTTTGAAAGTTCGGGGTTCTCACATGGTTCCTCACCCCTCACTGACAAAGCTATCAAGCCACATGGCTAACACAGATAAGAATAATGGGTTAATATAAGATCTAAGAATTAATTAATAAGAAGCCTGAGCTTCTTATGTGTGTGTGTGTGCACTTGACCAGGTGAGCCATATCCCAGACCCCTCTTCATCTTCCTGATTAAAGTCATTCTTCCAATTAAGAGACAAACTGACCTTTGAAATCTAAAGAAAAGTCAGGCGGAGATAGATAGATGGGCTATGGTATAACAGAAGGTAGACATATAGAAAACATATTAAAATTTATACTTTTTTCTCCTGGACTTACTATCAGAGATATACATCAGAGTCTATTTTATATATATACATATTTATGTCCATATATAAAAATTTATATTTTATATTTAAGTCAAGTAAATAAATATAGTTCAAACTCTGTGTAGAGCTATCTCAGATAGCTTTGGTTTGAATCCTGTTTCATTTCAGAAGTTAGAATATTTGGCTTTTTAAATTTTCTTTCATAGTTATTTAGCGATGGGTTATTGACACCTGCCTGTCCCACCTTCTGTCATTTAGTGATCACTAACACTTTGCCATTTTATAATTATGACCTTCTATTTTTAGAAAATGATGAAGTAAGTCTCAAGCAAATTTTGGAGACTTTAAGTACACATAAACCAGATCCTGTATTGGAAGGTGGGTCAGCTGACTCTGACTTCAAGTATTTGCCGTAGTTTTTATTGTCTTAAGATACTATTTTTGAAGCAGCATTATGAAATATAGCTTGTATATAAAATTTATGTTTTTATATTTATATTGCGTGATTTGGTGAAGTGTTGGCCTGTACATGCATTTGTGATACCCTCATCACAGTTAAGATAATAAACATATCCTACCTCCCAGATTTTCTCCACATCCCTTCATAATGTCTCCTGCCTTCTCTACCTTCTTTCTGTTGACAGAGATTTCTTTCCCACCAGGTTTCACAGCCATTTAGTCCCAAATAAACCCACAGAGTTCTACATTAATCATAAACTGGTTGGCCTAGTAGCTCAGGCTTCTTATTAATTAATTCTTAGATCTTATATTAACCCATTATTCTTATCTGTGTTAGCCATGTGGCTTGATAGCTTTGTCAGTGAGGGATTCTCATCTTGCTTTTTCTGCAGCTGGGTGACAGCTGCAGACTGACCTTTCCTCTTCCCAGAATTCTCCTGTTCTTGTCACCTCATCTCTACTTCCTGCCTGGTCGCCCCGCCTATACTTCCTGCCTGGCTACTGGCCAATCAGCATTTTATTAAAAATAATACAAGTGACAGGATAAAAGACCATTGTCCCACAGCATCTTTCCACTTATTACCTCTAGCAATCACTTATCTTTCTCTCTTAAGATTTATGTTTGCATTTAAATCCTTTTTGATGGCTTCCTTTATGTGGCACAATAGTATTGACATGCTTCAATAACTCATTCTTTTATTATCAAGTACTATTCCATTTTATAGGTATAGTGTGGTTTATATATTGACTTGATGGTATATATTATGATGTCCTTAGTTTGGGACTTTTCATTCAAAAGCTGCTGCAAATATAACACACAGGTCATTGTATAGGCATGCTTTTACTTTTGGTTAATTACCAAGAGGTGGGTAACTGAGAAATATTATGAGGTATGATTAAGTTTTTGAGAAACTGTTGAACTGTTTTATAAAGTGGTTACAACCTTTTATATACATTTGCATCTGTAGTGGAAGTACTTGAGCACTCCAGTGTCTCCACGTCCTTGCTAACTGTGTGTAGTAATTTAACTATTCTCAGCAGTGGGAGCAGTGTGTCACTACGACTTTTCTTTGTGTATTCTGATGGCTAATGATGTTAAAATATTTTCATTTCCTTATTTTCATTTTGTATTTCTTTAGTTCGTGTTTTCCCCTCATTTTTAAGTTGGATTATTTTCTTTCTTTCTTTCTTTCTTTCTTTCTTTCTTTCTTTCTTTCTTTCTTTCTTTCTTTCTTTTTTCCTTCCTTCTTTCCTTCCTTCCTTCCTTCCTTCCTTCCTTCCTTCCTTCCTTCCTTCCTTCCTTTCTTTCTTTCTTTCTTTCTATTTTTTTTGAGACAGGGTTTCTCTGTAGCTTTGGAGCCTGTCCTGGAACTAGCTCTTGTAGATCGGGCTCGGCTCGAACTCACAGAGATCTGCCTGACTCTGCCTCCGGAGAGCTGGGATTAAAGGCGTGCACCACCACCGCCTCACTGTTTTTATTATTTCTTTATATATTATGGATGTAAGTGGTTTATCAGATACTTGCTTAGCAAATACTTTCTCTATGTCTTTTCTTGACTGCTCTATATGAGAAAAAACAGCGACACCATGGTTCTGAAGTAGCAGGCCATCTGGGATATTTTAGATCTTGGTGAAATAGAACTAAACAAAAATGACAGATGTTAATGAAAAATAACTTGAGTAATTGTTCATTTAATAAATAAAGACTATAACTTTGGGACTTTAAGGAAAGATACTTCTAGACTTAGCTGTTCTATATTGTCACAATGAATTAGACAACCATATAACCAATATATTATATTGAATTTAATTTTTCCTAATGTTTTCATAGTTCTGGGGGCTGAACTCAGGACCTTGCTCATGCTAAGCAAGAACTCTGCTGCTGAACTCTATCTCTAGATATTTATCTAACTTTATGATGATTCATGTCATAAAGTGTAACATAGACAGTTTTCTTCTGTTTCAAACAGTATGTAGGACTTACACAGACAACCTACTTTTACGTGATTTCATATGTTCCTTAATTCTATCATGTCACATTTCCTTAGGAGAAGAGGCTGATGTCACTGCTGTAGACGAGGCTTTGAGAAACAGGGACACAGGACTCACCGACGAGGAGGAGAAGATTCTGTTTGAACCCCTGCCAGCTCTTGGTGAGGGATTAAAGCACTCATAGTAGTTAACACACTGGAGTTTATTTGTTGAGGTTTCCCTGTGGGAGTTTCTGATACCAATGCAAGCCGTCTCTGCTAGCTCTTTTCAAAAGCAATCATTACAGAATTACAGGTCTTGCAGCTTACTGTTTGATAGACTGAGATGTGTGAACATAGATGAGGTAACTGCTTCATTCTGCTGCCAGGTGGGAATTACTGCTTAAAGCACAGTAGTTTTTCTTCCTTTTTTTAAAAATAGTTTTTATTGAACTATGTATTTCTCTCCACTCCCCTCTCTACCTCTCCCCTCCCTTTTAACCCTCTCCCATGATCCCCATGTTTCCAGTTTACTCAGGAGATCTTGTCTTTTTCTACTTCCCATGTAGACTAGATCCATGTATGTCCCTCTTAGGGTCTTCATTGTTGTCTAGGTTCTCTGGGGTTGTGAACTGCAGGCTGGTTTTCTTTGCTTTATGTCTAAAAATCACTTATGAGTGAGTATATATTATATTTGTCTTTCTGGGTCTGGGTTACTTCACTCAATATGATGTTTTCTAGATTAATCTATTTGCCTGAAAATTTCAAGATGTCATTATTTTTTCCGCTGTATAGTATTCCATTAAAGCACAGCTTTTTCAAAGACTATCCTGCTCTTCAAAATCCCTCCAATAGTTTTCAGCTTTTTTTTTAACCTTCATGTCTTTAATCCATTTTGGACTAATTTGTGTATAGGGTTAGAGATGAAGAACAGTCTTCTGTATGTTGATATCTAGTTTCTCTTGAATCACTCACCACTTGATAAAGATGGTATAGCCTTTCAATTTATGTTTTGGGCACCAATGTTAAGAATCAAATGGATCTAGCTTCTTGGGCTTATTTTTATTCTGTTGGTCATGTGTCTGTATTTTTGGCAGTGCCATGCTGCTTTGGTCAATATAGTTTTATGTTTAAGTCAGGAATTAAGATACCTCCAGGACTGTTCTTTGTGCTCAGGGTTGTTTTGGGCTATCCAAAGTCTCTTGGATGCATACAAATTTTAAGGTTGTTTTGTCCATTTTTGTCAGATAATGAGAACATTAAATCTGTAGATTGCTATTGTCTATCTGGTCATTTTTACAATGTTATTTCGGTTACTCCATCAGTATGGAGGGGTCTTCCCCTATTTTATGTCTTCCGTGGTTTCTCTCTTCAGTGCCTATGCACTCACAGTGATGGTCTCTATTATGTTTGGTTAAGTTTTTGCCTAGGTATTATTTTTATTGATTCTTAGTTCAAGATATTAAACAGCCCTGATAGAGTCTTTCAGGGACTCTCAGATTCCCCTCTAAAACATCACCCACGCTGCCGTCATCTGCATCTGTCTCGGCACCATCCTTCATGTTTCCACAACAGCTCAATAATCTTTGAACACACGGTGGCTTTTTACCTTAAAGTTCCAAGTCCTTCCACATCCTCCCCTAATCAACGTTGCCAGGGCTGTCACAGTATTCACTTCCACTTAGCAATTTCTGTCTTAGTTAGGATTTTTATTGCTATGACAAAACACCAACACAAAAGCCATGTATAACAGGGAAGAAAAGTTGGTTTTTGCTTACAACTCCTGGGTCATGTTCCATGGCTGAGGGAAGAAAGGGCAGGAACTCAAGTCAGAAACCTGGAGGTAGGAACTGAAGCAGAAACCATGGCAGGGTGCTGCTTACTGGCTTACTCTGTATGGCTTGGATGGCCTGATTTTTATACAATTCCAGGCAACCTGCACAAGGTTGGCACTACCTACAGAGGGATTGGCTAGGCTCCTCTACATTCATGGGATTGGCTATGCTACCCTAAGTCCATAGGGTCAGCTAGGCTCCCCCACATCCATCATTAGTCAAGAAAATACTCAATAGACTTGCCTATAGGCCATTCTTATAGAGGCTTTTCTCAGTTGAGAGTCCCTCTTCCCAAATGACTGTAGCATGTGTTAAGTTGACATAAAACTGGCAAACACACTGTGTAATTCAGGTTTTCTTTCTACACAGGTAATTATAAAGAATATATGGAGGCTGGAGGGTGATATTAGTCTATGCTGTCATCACTTACAACTTTGCAAATGAAGTTCATATCCCCATAACTTACTTTTACAGACCTCCAAATGTGAAAACAGAAAGATAGATTGCTGGTTTTCTCTTTGCATATATTCAGCATATACTTTTGTTTTCTGTACAAAGCTATTCCTCAAGGCTCTGTAATAAGTCCCAAAGTCATGTCTTACATCCAAAGACTAGATTAAAAGTTCAGCATATTAGACTGCACATTTCAATGTGATATTATCATCATCATTCTATCTAGACTTCAGGGGAAAGATGTCTAGTATTGCTTTTCTTCTTTACACTGGAACAATAGGAGTAAACTCTGCTTCACTCACTTTCAAAAGCATTAAAATCAGTATCATTTATGGAGGATGTGCTATGTGCCAGGCATGGATTTGGCACTCCTTTGCTTTCCAGTGCTCTGAGGTAGGAGCTGTTAGGTTGTCTGTTAGAGAAATGGGGACCTAGAACTAGAAGAGAGGCAGATATCTAGAGAAAATAACCCAGATGACCCAACACGCTGTTTTCTGAGTACTAGTGCTATGTATATAAATTTACTTTACAGATGATGAAGAAATGGATATGGAAACATTGATCAGGGCCATGATGATGTTCAAAGGTGAGCTGCATTGCTACATGAGACTGATAAGGACACTGCGCTCATTTCTGTCTTTAATTTTCCGATTTCTCTCTTACTCCCTACATGTCTCCTTTCCCTTTTATGTCCTGGTCCCCCTTTTAAGTTCTATAAACTCCACCTTTGAGAGAAAACGTGAGACTAACTTTTCTGAGTATAGTTTATTTTGCTTAACATGATCTCTATCTTCATATATTTTACTCCAAATTAAGAAAAAGTCTTCATTAATTATAATAAAAGTTATTTGCTGAATAAAACTCCATTGTGCATATCAATCACATTTCTATGTTAATGGGCCCCAGCTGTTTTTTTTTTTTTTTTTGGTTTGTTTGTTTTGTTTTTCAAGACAGAGTTTCTCTGTAGCTTTGGAGCCTGTCCTGGAACTTGCTCTTGTAGAACAGGCTGGTCTTGAACTCACAGAGATCTGCCTGCCTCTGCCTCCCGAGTGCTGGGATTAACGGCACGCGCCACTGCCACATGGCTTCCGTACTGGGTTTGTAACTTGGTTATTGTGAGTGCCCACAGTAAGCTTGGTACTCAGTTATATCTGACTTTAATTCTTTTGGATATATGCCTAGAAATACAAAACAGGACCATATGAAAGGTTTTGTATTTCCCCAAAGAAATGCCATACTGAGGCTTGTAGTGCTTAGAATAATTTATGTCCCCACCAGGAGTATTAAAAGTATTCCTTCCCTCAGTTCCTTTTCAACATTTATTTTTAATAATTCTTTATTAAATTGATTATTTTTACTATTTATTGAAGTGATTGAAAACCATGATGTAGGGGCTTGGAGAGATGGCTCAAGTCATTCATGCAAGCAAAACGATGCATAAAATTAAAAAAAAGAAAAAAACTCATAAGAAAGCCTCAATGGCAAGCAAAGGCTAAAAATTAAAAAAAATCTCTTCTTGCACCTTTCCAATGTGACTTTCCTTCAGAAAGCCATTTCTAAAAGTATCTTGTCTCAGCTCTTTCATATAATATATTGCTGTATGTTGATGTGACTGCCAAGCATCTTGCTGTCTGACTCTCTTATATTCTTAAAAATTACTAAAGATATTAAAGAGGTTTTGTTAATATAGATTTTATCTATTAATATCTATCAAGTTAAATTAGAATTAGGGACATTTAAAACATTTATATGATAATTTGTTTAAAAATAACAATACCCAAGTAATTACCTATGTACATAAATTGAATGCTTTTATTAAAATCCTTTTCTTAAAATTTAGTGGAAAGGACAGTGTCCTACACTTTTGTCACTCTCCAGTTGGGTTACTATATCTTCTTGAATTGACACGGTAACAGTGTGGTTCAAATGTATGACAAAAATGTGGCCCAACTGGGGGTGGCAATGTAAACTAATCCAGTCACTATAGAAAGCAGTATGGAAGTTCCAGGAAAAGTCAGGAATAAGAGGTCCCTGTGGTCCAGCCATACCATTACTGGGTTCATAGGCGAAAGAAAACTGAATGATAAATTGAAGGTTAATGTTAATGCGTTCTCATAAAATAGCCACAGAAAACTCAATATGTGGAATATTTTAATAGTAACTAGTTTAAGATTTGTTCTCAAATTAAACTGTTGCTTTCAACCCAAATTTATATAGACCATATGTATTAGTTAGTGTCTGTTTCTGTAGAATACTCAGTTTTGGCTGTCCGTAGTCATCTTCCAGGACCCACTTACGATCAATTATGAAGAGCTGTTTCTGCTTTGACTCTTTATTCTGTTGAACAACTCTCACTTTTTATGCTCTACAACAGTAAAGTGTTGTATTTTCTTGCATTGACATCATTATAAGATTACATTTTTATCATTTACTTTTCTATGCCTTCAAAGAAAAAAATGACATTGCTAATCTGTCCGACTTCCTGCACAATCTGGGCATTCAGCTTTCAGATGATGGACATGATGACCTAGTCAGCCATCTCTCTGTCAGTGGTGAGCATTTCAACTGTTTTGATGCCTTTCAAGTATGACTTTCGGAATTAGTTATAAAGAATATTGATATCATACAACTGTATTCGATATTTGTTTCATTTATTATTTAGTTACTTTGAAAGTATACTGACATATCTGGTACTAAAGGAGGAAATGTGTTTGTATGTGTTTACTTATAATTTGGACATTTAAATAAATAATAAGATTATTAAGCAGAAAATACTTGAACTCTAGATGTTACACACTAACTCAGAAACATCATTGAGTCATTAGGAAGCCTAACACAAGCAGAGAAAAGAAGACAAGGAGGGCGTAGAGATAGGCAGAGAAATAGAAAACAAGAAGACAAGGTCCATAGAAGCTTTGTTTGTGAGTTACCAAGAACAGCTGTAGAATTTATGACACTTAAAATATTTGGGTTAAATAATCACAGTAGTAAAGGAAATATTCCTAGTACATGCTGTGTAGCAATCTAATTATTTTATAATTATTTCAAGAGTAAAACAGTAACAGTCTCTAATAAATATTAGTTATCTGTACTCCTTTATATTAAACTAGCAATGTCAAAGTACAAGTGTAAAAGAAGTATTTCTAATTCCTGTGATTTATTTTTAATTTGTTTATTAATTACATAGATATGCTAGGAGTTGTACTAGGTACAAGGAATACAAAGAAGAAATAAATTTATTCCTACTAGCAAATAATGTATAATTTACTTGGAAGCAGGTTGAAAATATGAAGAAAATTACATAGTAAAATTTAAAAAGTGCCCCGATATTCTCTTGGAATGATGGGAGGGAAAGGGAAGTAGAAGGAAATAGTGATCACTTCCAGGTAACTGTAAGTGATTGAATCAAATGAGGATTTTTTTTTGCTTGTTTATTTTAGGAAGTTAGGGCTAGAAGAAGGTAAAGCTATATCTTAGAGGGTCTGTACTTCATCCTACAGATCATAGTGTAGGGAGGGCTGCCAAAGATTTTCTTGGTTGTGAATGACATCATGTCTTGACCACTGTATCCCAAAAGTTACTGGACCAAGGACTATAGAATGTGATTTAGTAGCTATCTTAAATTCTAAGTACATTTTCACATGCTTGTCAGAGTCAGAATCCATGAAAATATCTACACTATATTCACCTAAGTGTCTGTAATGAACAAATGCATAAATATAGGATTCTATATTCAACTTTTGAAAAGGAATACATTCTGTCATTTGCAATAGCACAGTAGACCTGAAGGGGAACACGCAAAATGATAAAAAAAAAAAAAAAAAAAAAAAAAACAGGCACAGAAAAACAATACCACCAGAGTTCACTTATATGTGAAACTCTCGTGTGTGTATATGTGCATGTATGTGTTTCTTCTGCATTTTCTTTCTTTGCCTTTTCTATGCTTGTGTGTTCATTTTGTTTTATTTGGGATTGTTTGTTAATTGGCCTGTTTGTTTTCTAAACCGAGAAAGAAAGAAGGTAGGAGTTGGATCAGTGGGTAGGTGTGGAAGATCTGAGAGGAGATGAAGAAAGAAAACAGTGATCAGAATATACTGTATGAAAAAAGTTACTTTCAACAAAGGCGGGGGGGGGGGCTGGAGAGATGGCTCAGCGGTTAAGAGCACTGATTGCTCTTCCAGAGGACCCGGGTTCAATTCCCAGCACCCACATGGCAGCTCACAACAGTCTGAAAAGGCAGTTCCACGAGATCTGACACCTTCACACCAATGTACATAAAATAAAGTTAAATAAATCATTAAAAAATCCAAAATCAACACAAAAAAAGAGGGTTATTTAAGCTAAAAATAAGTTAATCTTGTGGATAGATATAGACAATTGTTAACAGATAGTTCTGTCCCACCCAGTCCTGCAGCTGTTCAGTCCCAAAGAGACACACAGAGGCTTATATTAATTATAAGCTGTTTGGCCTATTAGCTCAGGCTTATTATTACCTAGCTCTTACAACTTAAATTAACCCATAATTCTTGTCTATATTTAGCCACATGGCTTGGTACCTTTTCTCAGTAAGGCATTCTCATCTTGCTTCCTCTATGCATGTGACTCTGCTTTTCCTCTTCCTGGAGTTCTTCTAGTCTGGTTGCCACTCATATACTTCCTGCTTGGCTACTGGCCAGTCGGTAAACTAATACAAGTAACAAATCTGTACAGTGTACAAGAGCATTATCCCACAGTGGACAAATAATAGTTATCAATATGCTTAACATGTGCTGGTCTGATAAACTCTAAAAATAAACTTCAATTTGACAAGAAAACTAATTCAGGAGATCTGCCATACTTCATGGCAACCACAGTGAGCAACAGTGAATTATATACTTAAAGGTTGCTAAGTAAGGAGCCAGTGAGATGGCTTAGTAAGTAATGGAAAATCAAATTTTGCAGATTTTCTTTTTATACTACCTTTTAGAAGTTACAGTGCTTTTGGTCTGAATCCAGGATTATTACTGCGTTTGTTAAGTCCTTGTATTTTTTCTCACAGATGATGGGAAGATAAGTCAGCTTCAGCTGATGGACATCATCAAGAGTCTTAAAAGTGAGTAATAGGCGTGAAATGAAAATCTTAAGCTGTTGTCATACCGTTTAATAATTGAATGTTATCTGTGATTACAAACATGCATATTAACATTATATAAACTTGGACAATATATAGGGGAAATAAAAAGGAAAAAAGAAGACCACCCAGACTTAAAAATCAAATATAATAATAACAGTGTTTATCCTTCAGTATATAATTTTTTATATGTTGTACACCAAAAATTTGACTTTGGGTTTCTTTCTTTTGTTCATACTGTTTTAAGTTATAAAATTATAACTATTTTATTTATGGGTAAATAATTTATATCCATTGATTCTGAGTTTCTTCTACAGCAGAGAATCTGCAACTGTAGCATTGAACATCATCTAAGATCCCTCTTAAATCTATTTCTAAATCATATATTTACTCTGGCTTTCATTTTTTAGACCTGCATAGAAATGCTAACTTTATAAAACCTCAATAATCAAATTATTTTAGTAGCTGAGTATCTAATTGGAACTCTGGAAAAATTGATTGCCTTACAGGGGATAAATACCATTTCTAGTTTAGTTTATAACCAGTAGCCAAAATAATTGAATTATTTTCTTAATGATGTAATTTATTGGTAGACAATTACAAATTTCACATTTTAAAACTTTGGATTAGTCTTGTCAGGTATAACTATGATCTTGGAGAGGATTAATGATATCTGGTCCTCTGTATGACTTTAATGTTTATGTTGTATCAACTTTGAAAAGCATTTCATTGGACAGCCTTGCTTTGTACTTTGAAACCAGGAAACAAATGTTTAGAAATAGAATGTGTGTGCCCAAACATTATATGTCATGTATGCACACCATTATGGGTTGTGTAAAAAATATTTGTCTTGTCTTTCTTAAGGAGGAAAGGCTGATACCACAAAATTAGACAATATCCTGGCGAAGATGGAAGAGCAACTCACAAGCAAGGAAGTTCAACATCTGCCAGTTGACAGTAAGCATGTCTACTGTTATGGGTATTAACTAAGGGAGATAGGTTTATGTATACGGAGTTGTTAAATTACATTTATTTCTCTGTATTCGAGCTTTGTGACATATTCAGAAAGACTAAGTTTTGCATTTGAATTTATCAAAGTATTGTCCATCTGAGGAGTTCAAATGATCCAGCAATGGAAAATTGTGCATCTTAACACCATCTGCTCCCTCTTGCCATCCTTGGAAAAGTATTTTGGAAATTATCTGAATTAATGTGGCTTTGAGCTTCAAAGGTTAATTTTTATGTTTTCAAGCTTTTAAAATATAGACAAGGAAGGAGTTGGAGGGAGGGGACTTGTGATAGGCAGAGAGAAGAAAAAGAAGGGGAAAATGATAAAATCATAATTTAATTAAAATGTACAAAAGTGAAAATATGTAGATCAAAATGTGCTCTGAATTTATTAAAAATTTTCTTTTATAATTCTTTGTTATAACTGTTATGTATAAATAATTATTCAGGATGTCTTTTCTGGGAGTGACTTAGTTTAGGAAAAGAAAACAGAAAGGAAAGGTAAGAACATGGGTAAATGGAAATAGAAGGAACAAGAAGATTTGAAAGTAGAACAGCAAGAAGTGCTGAAGACAAGGAAGAGAGCAGGCATCTTGATCCAGCAGTTTCTAGAGATGGGGAGCAGACTGAAGGCTCATGGATAGGATCTGGTTCTTACTCTACCATGGCAGTGTCCTGATTCTAATCAAAACTTAGTTTTATATATTCAAAATACATTAGTGGATTTGCAATGGAAGGCATTCTGTTTTCAAAATGATTTTTATTACAGCTGATGGAAAGGTAGTGATGGGGGAGAGTCTTCTGTTTTGTGTTAATTTCATTGGTTAAATAAAGAAACTGCCTTGGCCCTTTAATAGGAGAGAAAATTAGGTAGGCAGAGTAGACAAAACAAAATGCTGGGAGAAAGAAGCCGAGTCAGAGAGTCGCCATGATTCTCCCACCCGACACAGCCGCAGGTTAAGATCTTCCCTGGTAAGCCACCTTGTGGTCTACACAGAATATTAGAAATGGGTTAGATCAATATGTAAGAGCTAGCCAATAAGAGGCTGGAACTAATGGGCCAGGCAGTGTTTAAAAGAATACAGTTTCCGTGTAATTATTTCGGGGCATAAGCTAGCTGTGCAGGTGGCCGGGTGGCGGAATGCAGCCCCGCCACTCCTATTACAACAAGGTAGCTCTAAATACACTTCTGGATGAAGTTGATCTTCTTTAAAAAGAGGGTGAGTGCAAAATTATGACAAAAATAAGAAATCTTAATTTGTATACACAAAATTACTGTAGGTGACACATGGAACTTTGGTCCTTTGCACTTTGTAAAATAGTGCTCATTGCAGTTTTTGACTAGGAACTGAGAATTTGCTAACAATGTAGACCATGTTCTCGATAGACTTTCTAACAAAATAACCCTTATTCATTTAGCTAAAGTTTCAGTCTTGCTTTGTGTATTTTCAGTTCAATAACTTATTTAGATAGTCTTTACTGAGTCTTGAAGTTCTAGGTGCCTCTCTAGGTGTAAGAGATGCAGTATGTAATTAGACAATTTCCTTTTGTTCATGGAACTCACATTTTCTTGAGGGCATAAATCAGCAGAAAAATAAAAGTTTTCAAAAGCAGCAGTGCTATTGAAGAAAAAGGTGTCGTGATTGACAGCAATAGAGTTCTGGCTTTACCTTAACTTAGATTTGGTGGGTACGGAATGCCTAGGGTGATACCTCAGTTGAAGCTTGCAGCCAGCTTCCTCTTAGGACTTTGGCCAAGGAGATGTTTCATCAACATCAATCGAATGGAATAAAGTTTGCTTTTGATTCGGTATCAAATCTCGTTTTACTTGGAAAGATTTTGAACCTATTAAGGATAATATATGGACATTGTTTTTAGATCATGGAGTTGTAACACCTTTTTCAAAGTTTGTCCTCTTTCCTAGAGGGGAAGGTCGATGTTAGTGAACTTGACACCATTTTGGAGAAAATGGGAATGGATTTCTCTGACGAACCATCTGAAGGACTGGTACCAAGTTGGCATGGTAATTATGAACACGCTAGACACCACTCCTCAGAGTGTGGGATAGTGGGTTTCTGACCTCACATTCCTGAAATTTGAGACACCAAAGACAGCTGAACATACCTTAAAATAATCCTGCCTGAATGAATTCTCTCTAGCTGAAATAAGCCTCACTTTTATGGTATTTAGGGTAGTTTATGTTTATCGATTTAAAGTCAAAGTTACAAACCATGCACTTTATGCTGCATTTTGGATAAGAAAATTACAAAATGTTTACAAGGGGCGTCTGCCCTCTATGGTGCATTAAAGTAGAGGGGAAAAGAAACATATAGGAAAAAATACAAGTGAAAATAATTTGGGTCTTAGAAATATGAGATTAATAAAGACCCTCACCGCAGATTAAATATGGTTATGATCAGTTTAAACACTACTAGTGTGGGGCTGAGGAGATGGCTCTGTTGGTGAAGCTCTTACTATTCAAGCATGAGGCTATGAGGTTTGCATCTATGATTTCCTTGCTGGGGATGTAGAGACAGGAGAATTCATGGGGCTTAGTGGCCAGCCAGCTAGCCAGTTCAGTTCTCGGTTCAGTGAGAGACCCTGTCCTAATAAATAAGATAGGGAAGAATTGAAGACACCTGACATCAACATGCACACCACATGTGCACATGTACACACACGTGCACACATACACACGCGCACAAGCATGCACACACAATACTGGTGGAAGATGGTGCTGCTGCTTTTAAATCCTGCTCCAGATTGATTTGGTGGACTGGAACAAGGGCCAGTTTGGGAATCTGAATGTGTCCGATCTCATATACTCTGTTCACAATTAAGAGTTTCACAGAGGTTGCGGATTTAGCTCAGTGGTAGAACATTTGCCTAGCAAGCATGAGGCCCTGGGTTCTGTCCTCAGATGTGGGGGAGAAAAAGAATTTTACAGTTTGTAAAGATCATTTTGGTCTTTGTGATGTGAACTTTGTCCTGTGTTTGATGGGAAAGTTCAATTTAGTAAGCTAGGGACTCGTATTCTACTGTTCCTAGGAAGAGGTTGAGATACTAATGCTTTAAAAACTATATTTTTAGACCCCACACTCAGAGGCTAAAGCTGTAGGATTTATGGCACAGGCCAAAGCATTGAACTTTTTTGAAAGTTAATTTTTTCCAATGTTAAAATCCCTCACTTCACACATAGGCTTTACAATGTAGTGGCATGCACACACCTGTCAAATAGAAGGGTTGTCACCAGACACCGAGGCGTTTTTTTCTTCAAAAATAACTTTTCATTTTTTATGAATTTTTAAAAAGTGACTCTCTAGAAATTTGTTAAATTTAATTTTCTTTCCTTCCTTGAGTTAAAAAAAATCAGATTAGAGACCTCAAGAGAAAAAAAATCAGAATGATGAGTCTAGAAATTTTTTATTTAAAATTATTTTTTTGTTATTTTAAAATTACATGTGTATCTATGTGTGGGTGTGTGCATTGAGAACAGGTGCCTGCAGAGGCCAGAGGAAGGCATTGGATGCCCTGGAGCTGGAGTTTCCGGTGATAGTGATCTGCCTGATGCGGGTGCTGGGAACTGACCTCCAGTCCTCTGCAAGAGCAGCAAACACTTTTCCTCATCTCGTTACTCCTTTAAGTCATTGTTCTAATGCCCTAATGTAGTTTAACATTATAACACTTCAGATGACATATGTGTGCTATTCTAAGAGAGATCATTTCTCCAGTCTTTGTGGGATGGGTTGGAAATATAGACATGTGACTATAATGAAAATCATGTGGGTTGCCTGTGTTGTTTCAGTTAAGACTTTTGCATTGTTTGTGAATCTCACAGTGATCTCTGTGCTTTGTACTTTGTCTTGCAGTTCAGCTTAGCAAACCATTGAGTGAAATTCCTCATGTTTCAGGTAAGATGATACAAAGTGGACGAGATACCAGTGCTTTGAAAATATGTTTTTGCCAAACATGCTGGTGCATGCCTATAATCCTGGAACTCAGGAGGCTGAGGCTAGGAGATTGAAAGCTTGGAGTTTTCTGAGGCTTAGCTTTTAATAAAGTTATGTTTCTTGTTTGCGTGTGTATGCATGTATGTGTTTATATGTGTACAGTGTGTGGGTACATGTGTCAGAGGGTACTTGTGAAGGTTAGAGGTCAACTTTTGGAATCTGGAGCTCAAACTCAGGTCATCAGGCTGTGTAACAAGCTTTACCCAAGATTAGTGTTTTTGTGTTAAAAGTGACCTACCTGCCTGGAAAGCTCAGAATAGACGTGGTGAAGGCCCCTTCTTGTTACTCACATTTCCTCAGCCTCCGAATGTGCAGCTTATGGCCCTCTTAGACGACGAAGAGGAACTTTTGGAGAGGATGTTTCTAATGACACTCAGCAATTTCACAAGGAGTTGGTGCAACCACCCAGATTTATCCAGCCTGAATTCTCTGAGTATGAAGATGCTGTGGGCTGGAAGGCAATCACTGAGATGGAAAAGCATCAGCAAGACCACATGGACCACAACAGTTAGGAGTCTCGATAGCTGTGGGAGCCAGAGCCGGACCCAGAGGCAGCTTGACAGGAGCAACACGTCATTCTGGAGGCAAGATTTGATGAACTTCCAAGAACACTGGCGAGTGGGAGAACGGGACCACCAAAAGGTTCAAAGTGAAGCAGCTGGAGCTCACACAAGAGGAGCGCAGGCACTGTGAGGAAGGAATGTAGTGGTGAGGAGTGATAGGCTGCCCCGCAGGAAGGATTTAAGGGAACTTTCCCCATTGTGAGAGGATGTACTGCAGCTCCTCCAGCACCGGCTACTCAGATGCCATATGGAACCTTGGGGTTCATCCTACCAACAACAGAGTGTTTCCACCAAGTTGTTAGAGTAGAAAGGACTGGAGTACTTGATGGAAATGGCTACTGCATTCCACGGTGCAGCCCCTGGAACTTCGTTAGCTCCAAACAATGTTGTCATTGCCAATAAAGTTGCAGTGTCTACTTTCCTACAACTAGAGGCATCCTAGTCAGACTAGCCATAATTCTATCCAGGAAAGGTGTCAGACTAGCCATAATTCTACCCAGGAAAGATGTCGGACTACCCATAATTCTACCCGGGAAAGGTGTCAGGATTCCTCCCAGTGGATGCTTCTTCCCTGTCATAGGTTTCCATTGCTGTGATAAAATGCCATGACTAAAAGAAACTCATGGAGGAAACAGTCCCGTATTACAGCCATTCATCAAAAGAAGTGAGGCCAGTGCTCAAGTAGGGAGCTGGGAGGCAGAAACGGAAGCAGAGGCCATGGAGGAGTGCTGCTTCCTGGCTTGCCCTCCATAGCTTGCTCAACTTGCTTTCTTATACAACCCAAGGCCAACTGCCCAGGGGTGGCATCATCCACAGTGAATTGGGCCCTCCCACATCAATCATTAATCAAGAAAAATGTTCCAAAGCCTTGCTAACAGGCCAGTCTGTGGGGACATTTTCACAACTGAGATCCCTCTTCTCCAAAGACTCTGGCTTGCGTTGACAAAAATTTGACCAACAAAACAAAAAAACCTGCCCTGGACAATACCTTGATCTTGAACATTCATCCACAACTAATGTCTTATTTGAAAATAACTTTCTGTTGTTTATAATTTAAAAGATGTGTGGCTTGCTAGATATTCTGTAAATTTCATTTTCTTCCTTGAGTAAAAAAAAGAGCAGATTTGATAGCTCAGGGAAAACATAAAAATGGCGGGTTTGGAGAAGAATGTCCTCAAACTCTTATATCATTGATCTAATGCCATAATGTGGCTTAGCATTGCAGTGTGTTAATAAAAATAGGATATGTGTGCTGTTTTGTGAGAGTTCATTTCTCATTTACTTATGGTGCATGGAAGAATTATAGAAATATGACTCTGGTGAAAATCATTTTAGTGTCTTATATTCTGCTTCACAATTAAACTCCTCATTGTGAATCTCAGTGGTTTATTAAGTTAACTTTTGTGTCAACTGTAAAACAAATCACGAGGTCCGTAATGAGATTCACAATGAGTATTTCTCTGTTTCCTTAAAGTTCTTTGAATGTCCTTAAAACAGTTATTTTAAGTTTATTATAGTTTATACTGATACATCATATGTGTGTGTGTGTATGTGTGTGTGTGTGTGTGTGTGTGTAAGCCAGAGATCGACATCAAGTGTATTCCTCAATCATTCTCTATCTTTACCTCATTCTTTGAGCCCGGGTTTCTTACTGTTGGTTAGGCTGGCCAACAAGCCCAAGGGATACTCCTGTCTCTACCTTACCTAGGTTACAGGATATTTCTACCCTGCTTGTTACAAACATGCGGGGAAGCATCTAGCTTTTACGTGGGTGCTGACGATCCAAACACAGGTACCATCCTTGTGCAGCATGCTCCTTACCTGCTAGCCCATTCCCTAGCTCCTAGCCTCAGATCTTGGTGCCTCATCTTGTCTGTTAAACTTGACCATGGTTCCCTGCAGTTCTTGGAGATTTGGGACCTATATCATCATCTGCACACTGAGGAGTAAGCGTCTACTCCAGTCCTCATATCTTGACCTTCCTCCTCCTAGAAACACTAGCAAGCTACTTGTCTTTTGTGCCTGTAATCGCGGCTCCTATTTCAGCACAAAGTGTGCCCCAAATCCAGATTTACTGCCAGCCCACACTTGGTGTATTGTCACTGTTTTGACACTAGAGACTGCTGTAAGCCCAAGTTATCCCAAATCTGCGGTTGTTTTTAAGGTTGGACTGAAGAGAAACATTAGTTCATTCCAGGGACAGGGTAGCCCAGATGCTCTCTACATAGCCATTGACTTGTGTTCAGATAATTCCCCAGTCTTGGCTTCATCATAAGGATCCAATTTTAGTCACCAAATCAGCAAATCATATTTCTCTCCCCTCCCTAAAGCAGAGAATGATTCTCTTTGTGCTGTACTGCCTCAGAATTTGGAAAGTAGAAGCTGGGCAATCTCACGGCTACAAAGGCTACAGCACTGCGTCACAGCTGTTACCCACAGCCTGCTAAAATCAGAGTAGTACAGAGGTAGGAACAAGGTCTATTCTGCTATGATCTGACTGTTGCTATGATTGTATATGTGGCTTGAAAGATCTACAGGCAGCCAGGGATGATGATACGCAGAATCCAAGTCCATCTAATTGCGGTCACTGGTCTTTGCCTGCTAGACAGGCAAGTTTGGAGGCTTTATTCACAGGTAGGAGAGAGGCGCTGGTGAGGTCTGCTCAGCTTTTAGGTTCAGCTACCCAGCACTGAATTCCAAGGTAAAATCTGGTGTTTACCCAGCAATTGGTTAAGCTCTGCTGGCAAAGGTTTGAGAAGGGGCATGGTAGAAGTAGTCCCTTGGCTGCCCACTAACATAAATCCAGGGTTCAGTCCAAGACCATAAGTCCAGGTGACTACAAGGCTTTGTCCAGTGCTCTGTTCCAGGTCTGAAGATTGCATTTAGTTTCATATCGTTTCCCATGTGGGAGGCATCTCTCACCATGCTGTGCTTCTTGGAGTTAGGGAAGGAGTGGTGTATCACCTCCCTCCTTCCTGTCTTCTCTCACTTTTCCTTAGCTCCTGTGATGGTAGTTTCATGTGTGATTAACCGTTCTGACGGAGATTCTGTAAGATGGTGGGAGAGTGTTATTCTGCAGCCATCTTGCTTTGCCTTCTGTTAAAGAATTCTTAAACATCTTTCTGGGCTCTATTCCTAGCCTTTCAAATGAGAGAAAAATTAATTCCAATGACATTCAAAATATTCTAGGAAACATACCAACTCTCTTCACAGATAAGGAATAGGAAATGTTGAGTTGTTGAATTTCCTTTCAGAGGAGATTTGCAGTGAGGCTTCTGTGAGATAAAAATATTTGGATGCTGGTACTAGTAAATCATTCACTCCCTGTTTGTAAACATGAAGATTAAGCAATACCTAACAGTGTCACGGAAATGCTTACAGACCTAGAATCCAAATATGGAAAAGAGGGAACTTAGGCTGAGGAGATAGAGGGAGAAATCAGGAAGTAGTTGTGAAGAGAAAAAATACTTGATGGGTGTATATAAACAGCATATTAAAATTTAACAAAAGACAAAGTAAAGGGCAGGTAGATTCAATATGGTATGCTAAAAAACAAAACTCATTTCTCATCTTCCACATACTCTGGCTGTGAATAAAGGTCCCAAAAGGTTCAACGGCTGAATTTAACTCTGCTCATTAAAGTAACCCAGTTTCTATTTATTTAAAAGAATGGTGTTTGTCTAGCCTGACTCATTTTATTACAGGGAGCTATTAGTGTTTTCTGTATGTATGTGTCCACGTGTGTATTTGCACGTTTGCGTGAGCATAGGTGCTTGTGTGTATGGAGATCAAAGGTCAGCCTCAGGTATTGTTCCTCAAGAGTCATCAGCGTTCTCACATCAGCGTTGACCTGGAACTGACAGAGTAGAGCGGTCATCATAGGTCGTCAGTGACTGTGGCTAACGTAGAAATGGCTGTGGTTTGTTAAAGAGAACTAGTCCACTATTGACTCAGAGTAGTCAACATGCGTCCCACACCTGATGTGTGCTCAGCGGAGTTCTAGGTCTTCACATGTGAGTAACCTCACCCTCACAGGAAGGTTGTGAGGCAGATAAGATCATCATATTTCATACAATGGAACACTGGAAATCAAGTTAGATTACTGAAAAAAATCTATTAAGTAGAGAATAGGAGAGAAAAATACTCATACCAATGTGTTCTTATTACAGCCATAGTCATTTTTCTTTTCACCTTGGCAGAACTTCCTATTCTTATCATAGAAATAATGCACTGGAGGTAATTTGTGATGTGTTTGCTTTTCCACAGTGAGAGTAGGTGGGAATAAGCTAACCGTATTGAATATTGTCTTCTTGCCAAAAAGTTATAGCTCATATGCATGAATGAGAGACATTTCAGCATTAGTGAGAACGTCCATGTCGATTTTTCTTTTTACTAAGTGGAGAAAGTAGACATCAGGGACTTGGACAGCATGCTCACGAAGATGGATATTGAACTCACCAAAGGAGAAGTTGAAGAGCTGAAAAGAAACCTCCAAGTTGATGGTAACTAATTTTCAATATAGAAAAACAACCTTCAGGGGCTTTTGAAGATTATAGACTATTATTTCTGAAAACAAGTTAATTTTGTACTGATAAAAAAATAATGCATAGTCTCTGAAAACCCAGTTACAGACTGAGAGCAAAGGCTGTCTTCATTTCCTAAGTCCAGATCTAGGGTAAAGCATTTGCCTAGCCTATCACTGCAAGATCTCCTTCCATAGCAGCGAATGTCTGGGAAGCAGAGTAAAGCGGCGGGAAGAGAAATGAATAGGAAGTTCAGGTGTATCCTTTCCATACTTCCCGTGTGCTTCTGTGTTCTGACTCTGACCTCTGTCAGGTTTCTCTGAGAACACCAGTCTCAGAGTGTCTCCTTAATGAACTGCAGCGTCCCCTCCCCCCTCCTGTCTTCCCAGTCCCTTACATGCCCATCCCCCAACCTCACCTTTGTCT